TGAACTCTAATGGAATCCAATCGGCAGTCCTCGAGAACTTCGGGCTGCCGCTTCGTGCCGACACGTTCGCACCGGTAATACCTTCGTCATATATCGCGGCCGCGGCGCGCAAAGTGCACTGCTTATGATAGATCGTCTCGACAATGGAGGCAGAGCCATCGCGCAGTATCTAAGCCGAGGTCGTAAATAGTAACGTACATAGGCGCCGGTACGTATCCATTTACCGTGTAGATATGTATGTATATACGCATGGGCGTATGCGCAGGAGGCGCGTCATCTCCCTTAAATTTTGCTAACAATAGTTTCTCTCGCTATTGTAATTTGAATAATTTTTACAATGAAGTCCAGCTATGGTACGTCTTCTGGAAAGATAAGGAGAAAGTGGAACTGAAAGAATTGAAACTAGCAGAGGTATTAAAAGAAGCTCAGACTTTTTTCCTAGCTAGCACCATTGAAAGGTCTTTTAGCACATTGCGCAAGGTGAAAACCTATTTGCGGTTAATAATGTCAGAAAATCACTTCAATGGACTACGTATGCTAAGTGTATACGCAGAAAAATAGTGCTCGCGAAAAGACAGAATTTGTAAAAAGAATTATTAAGAAAGTTCACCGAAGATCCTCGAAGATTGACTTTAATACAAGTATGGTAATAAATTTCGTGCGAAGATAAATTTTACTCCCCACTGACTGAAGTCCTGGGTACGCCCATGTATGTACGATGTGTGCGCATTCGCGCTCGCGTCGCTACGTGAAATCCAAAGATTTCTGGCATCCCTTCCGGCCTTCTGTTCGCGCATTTCGCGGTCTCGCGAAAGCATTTTGCTGCTCGACGCACCCCCGATATGCAGGATGGAGCTCCGATACGTTCAACGATCTCGGAGAAATCTAATTGAGGTGTTGGGCGCGAGAACGTCAGCCGAGATTCGTGATGCTTTAAGCAAGGTGAAATGATGTCTAAATGATGGATCCTCCCCGAATAGAATTCCGCCGCCCGTCTCTCCCGAACAGAGATTTCGCGACTCCGCGTGTAAAAAGCAACGAAAGAACAACGAAAATACTCGACGAAAATAACTCGGCCGCATCGGTAAGAATGTCCTTCTCTTCGCCGCGCTTCATTTCGTACGAATGGAAGAAAGTCTTCTGAAGAGAGACGCGTAGAAATGAAACTTTCACAGGGCTCTGTGAAAGCTCTCGAGGAATTCCTCAAGACGTCGGCCGGGAACGCTCGTGGGTCTGGCAGCGCTGATGGATACGCCTCTTAAGTCCGATAAAATCGGGATGCAATGACGTCCGTGCGCTTGATTTTTCTCTCTTCTCTTCTCCCGGCCGGTTAACTTTCAGCGTAACCTACGATACTCACGCCCTCCCACCCGCGATATGCTCAGGCCGGAGAAAATTGGCCGCGCGCCTCGGCTCGCTCGTAAAGCCCGGGCTACCCCGGGAAAATGAGAACTCGCGTGATCGCGCTTTGATCACGCAAGAAACCGCGGCGTTGATCGAAGCGGTGCGAAAGCATCCATCAGCGACTCGCAGCGCGGCGAAGTATCGATTCGAGGCCGTGCACGAGGGGGTTTGCGCGCTTCATGTTGGCGTTACATTACGACGGCTTTTCTTTCAGCGGCAACGACTGCGAAGCCGGATCTTCGGGAAGAGACGCCCTTCTTATCATCCGTGTCTGTCCCGTCCCACTATCGGATTAACCGTTAACGGCGGGTTCCTTAAGTAAGTTCGCGAGAAACTCGCTAATACTAATTTGTCGAGTTCAGCGATAGTCCGTTAAGTTATAATCGGTTTTCGATACTCGTCGTCGTCGGACTGGGTCGACTGTTTCGCGATTTACGACTCGAAGTACGTGGCATTATTTTCACTTAAGTAACGCGGCGCGAAATGTGCGCCGTTTCTTTCGCACGGAAGACGTCCAAGTACGATCGTGGAATTTTACCGCCATGAGAGGGGCGTTTTACAATGCTGGCGGTCACGTAAATTACTGTGTAATTACGCACCGCTCGCGGAAAGGGTCGGGAAATATAATTACTGCCGAATGAATCGCGTGAAAATTTCTGTGACACGCGCGCACAATTACCGTGTCTATTTGTCGGACGTCTAAGTCAACCGTAGAGGAGCCTCGCGTCATGTGGATTTACCGAGTTCCGGGCAACGGCTTCCCATACGATGGCTCGTAAATGCGAGAATATCCCTTTTCGGAGAATTGCATTTGCGTATCGCTCCAAAATTGCGCCGGAGGTTAGCCGGAAGGGCACGAAGAGTTACGAGGGGTCACGCAAATCGACCGTGGAGATTTAAATAATTTGGATTTTACACCGGAGTAAATTCCAAACGCGAGTTCTCCCTTCGTTCCATCGAACGAGGGAGTTCTTATTGTCATCGCTCCGAAAGGAATTGTCCGTCCCCGCATTGCGTTGAGATCGCTATTGTCAAACTTTAACGAAATTGTCGCGTTTATTTTCCGATAAATATACTTCGCGCGAATCATACCCTACAATGATTACGACGAATCGTAACAGGTATTACATACTATAGTTTATTCATCCCTTTCGTTATTTAATCCTTCTCTCGTTCGTTTTTCACGCCATCGAATCGTGATAGATCGCAGGACGCGAGAGGGTCAAGAGAGGCGACGCGCTGAACGAACGCTGCTTGACCTATCGTTGTTCCGTTCTCGCGACCTGTGTTTCGTTGCGGTCGAAATATCGTTGGAATTTTTCCCGAGACGACACCGAATGTGCATCCCGTGCGCGGTCATCTCTGAGAGAGTTAGTTGCGGTTGGGAATTTCAAGGAATTGCCGCGTTGGTATACGTCCTCGTGAGACTGGAGTCGCGATATTATTCTCCACACAGCCCGAAATGGACGCTCGGTGTTATGCCGAGTATATTACTGGCGGCTCTCTCTTCGCCTCTCTTCTCTGCCTATCTCTCTCTGTATTTGCAAATTTTATCGCCGCCAACTCGTCCGTGGAAATTTTCAGTTGTCCCGCGCGATGTTTTATCGTCCGACACTTGAGCTTGTACGCCGCGATAAGCTCTCGCGATATTACACGTCATGTCGGATTCCACTTTGGTCGAATGACCGAATTGTGAAGGAAGGATTATCCTTATAAAAACTTTAATAAAAGCTCATTTTCGTCCTGTCTCGCGTATTCGTCAAAAATGTATAATTTTTAGCGGAGAAACATCGGGGAAAAACAGAATCACGATATCCGCGCTTGTCACACGTTTCATTCGTGACATGTTGATCATCGCTCCCATCGGCAAAGCTCCGCATCATTAGGTAATAAATGCGAGTTTAGAGAGTGAGATTTGCGGTTGCTAAAGTAGCGATGTTAAATTGACGATAATTTACTGTTTGCTCAACGGGTCTCAACAAGGCGCGACTCGACGGTTTAGCTCATTAATTTATGCGCGCGTTGTTGGCCATAAGTGCTTTGCCGTTGCATTGAGCAGATGCGGGAGCATTAAACGCACGATATGAACTTGCGCCGGAGTCACTGAGCAGGAAGGTCTCGCGTTCACCGACATTTCGTCTCTCGTAGTCTCGATCGAAGACAGTTTCGAGCTTTTCAATTCGAATTTCGCGCCGCGCGCCTCAAACTCTTGTTTGAACAAAACGTCCTCGAATGACGCGTACGGTAATACGAAATCAATTATTATCGCAGTAGAGTACAACCTAATAGGATCTTAAATGTCGCCTTTATCCTAACTTCACTGGCCTAACTTTGCCAAGCACAGTCGCAACACACCAACTGAAATTTCGTCGAAGTTTGACTACGTAATTACGCCAATTACTCAAGAGTTTCGTGCCATTTTCCTCCCCTCTGCTCGTCACGACAATTTGGATTTCCACGATAGTTTCCGGGAGCACCTCTTAACCCAAATCGTAAATTAGCTATCGCGAAATATCCGCTGACTTTATAAGTTATTGATTTTATATTGGTTGTATAATGCGCGATATAATACGAGCGCGAGATTAACCACCGTTTCACTGGCTACAGCGATATTAGCAAAGTTTGAAAACATTTTATATAGATACCCGGAAAACAGATAATCGATATTATTCGGTGACTTCGAAAGTAGAAGGAAGGAAGGCAGGCAGGAAAGAAGAGAGGAAGGAAGGAAGGAAGGAAGAAACGAAGAAAGGAAGGAAGGAAGGAAGGAAGAAAGAAAGAAAGGAAAAAAGAAAGAAAGAAAGGAGCTCGCTTCTTCGGATCGATCCACCCACGATTTTCGTTTACGACAGAAATTAGTTTCGCATAATCAACAACAAAAATCCAAGTATAGCTCGAAAGAAGCGAATCCTTCGTGAAGAAGAGTCAGGTCAAAATCGCACAGAATCCTCTCGCTATAGTAGACTCGTCGCACCTTCTCGGAAGACACTCTAATCCGCATCGATACATGGGATTATCGAATATCCTGGCCTGAAATACGTCTACGCGATAATACATCGCGGCTAGCTCATCTCCAGCCACAAGCACATTCCGATCGACGATAGATACCTGCCAATTATCGTGCCAATAGGTCCTATAATCATTTAGGACATAGCCAGCCGTTGTCGACTATTGCAACATCCCCTTGGCTCACCTAATGTGTGTCGTTAACGATAATATACGCTAGGTAACAGTAACGAGCTCGGAAATTCGCGAAGATGGTACTTTTTTTTTTTAATTATAACGCACCCTTCAAAACTGGCGTAGATAAAATTTCATCGTTCGATGAAGATCCACTCGAGGGTCTCATTATCTATTTATTCATTCGAAAGTCATCTTAAGCGTCCTCATCCACGAAGGACGTGCCAATTACAACACGGATGGTTTCCGCGGAAGTTTATCTGTGCTCGATAACTATCGGATTATCCTCCCGGTAATCACTGGTGACATGGACAACCGCGTGCGGGGTTCTCGCAATGACAGAGCTTTCGAGCTTCGCTCTTGGAGATGATTTCTTTTTTGATTCTTTCGCACGGAGGGGGGAAGGCCTCACTTACCACATCAATAAGTTGCGAGAGTTTGAGTTTGATGCACACGCGCAGCACGTCCGAGGTGTTCACCACGGGGCGCACGAGCTTGTTGTAGTTAGACAGCAGGTCGTCGTAGAGGCGCTTGGCGTCCGGATTCCCGGCGACGGCTCCGTGGACGACTAGCGCCGAGAGGAACCACACGCGCAGTGTTTCCCCGATTATGGGGGGCATCATGGTCCCCTGATTCCTCCACTATGAACGACGCGCCTAGCCTATTTGTGCCCTCTTTCTCTCTTTCTATCTCCCTCTCTCTCTCTCTCTATTTTTCTGTTAACCGCGCGAGCCACGTATCTACGTGAAGATAAATCGAAGATCAACCGTTGTGTCCTCGCAATTCGCATAGCGCATTCGCGAGCACGAACACCGCTTGGGAATCCCCCGTACATCGCGAATTTTATTTTATCTCTATCCCTAAGACTCTCGTCTCTTGAATTTTCGATTCAAACGAGCCACCTGAGTATAAAACTAAATAAATTCCGGATGCAAAACAGCTTCGACTATCGAGCTGCGAGGAAAGTGTCCCAGAAGTCACCCGCTTTCTACACATCGCGAATATTCGAAACGCGAAATTAAAAGGTACCGCTATTCCTTTAACGTCGCGACATTGGTTCGCTGTAGGCGAATGTGCAAGTCGCAGAATTTCGCTAAACCACTGTAGTCGCGAGAGAAGACGATTTCTCGTTGAATTTCCAGCCGGCGAGAAATCTGCAAAAATTTTTTGCCTCAAGACACGTAAACGAGAGAGAACACGCGTAAATGCCGGAATACTCCATAGACTAACACATAAGCGAAAAGCTCTAAGCCGAGCCGCTATATTACACCTTGCCAGACTACACTTCGTTACGGTATGTGCAATTCCCGGCATATAACATACCATGGACCGGGAACGATACAACTTGGTCCGCGGGCGGATTTATGGGTACAAGTAACGAGTTCAATCTCTCTCTCTCTTCCCCATATTCTTGCCTTCGAGCTCGTCGAGCGTCGCCGCGTAAAAAAATTTCGCTGCGCTGAATATAAAAATGATATCGCGCGATACGCGCGCTCTCCGCTGTCGCACGAAAAATTTGATCTATATTTAAATGTAATTTCCTTCTGAATTTCTTTTTTGCCTCCGCATGCGCGAAATGACGAGACGTTTCGCCTCGGTAGATTCGAGGGATTAATCCATCCGGTGATTAACGTCGTGACAAAGCCCACGATATCGATAACGGGAAATGCAACGGTAATCGCGACCATGTATGTGTAACTACGATGATACGAGCAGCAAACCGGAAACAATGACGGTGAACGATCCATGATCGCGAACCGCGATGTGTAACGACGTTAAAGTGTTCGGGCGGGCCGACACTTGGCATAGTCGGCCATTGATTTTCGACGCGTATTAGGGGCGCTAATCCGCGGCCACACATCGCGCCGCCGTCCGTCGTGGATCGGATTGATCGTTTGCTAGCAAATCGCGAGGCAGCGCATTCCATTCGCCGGCCGGTATTTAACGGAGTCAAACGAATAGAACGGCTGACCACGTCATTACGCGATTTACATCGCGGCGATTCCGCCGTGAACGCCACGATTGAGCGAGTTAACCGGCCAATTTTGAATTTGGACGTGGCGGCTGGTTTATTCCCTCCTCCCTTCCATTTCTCTCTCTTTCTTCCTTTTTTTTGCGTTGCTGTACGAGCGATGATGCTGTACGGTGAAATTGCGACAATTACGACGAGCCTGTGCGGTGCGCGATGGTCGGCACTTTTAACGTTTTACGATCGGACGCAACGCGCACGCGCGCGCTGAACACTGCTGATGTATCACGTTAAAGAGTTAAAATCGGATTTTTTGCATAATAATGACTGTAATATACATATTGCATGTAGAAAGAGAGGATCACTGTGTATCGAGGACTCTAAATTGTATTTCCACGAAAAGAGCTACGAAATGCAAGATTTTCAGTGTTAATTTCGTCACATCCGCAATTCAGCCTACTCGAAGTGAACGATAAAAAAAATTGGTGAAATTTTGACGACTCCTTTCCAATCATTTGAAAATGTTATCCCTGTGCGTTGACGTTCGGATGTAAATCCACGGCGATATGCGACGTCGTTTGATTCGTTTGTCGCGCGGAAATCCGGCCCGGGATTAGTGGATAAAATGCCGTCTCGTTTCGACGATTAGGATTATCTGCGCGGATTTTGCTTCGCTCTTCGCGAACTCATTCGGCATATCGACAGCTACGTTGCATCTCGCTGATATTCGCGTAAATGGGAAATTGATACTCGACCATTGATGCTTCGGTTAGCTAGCCTCGAGAGCGTTGAGATTTCCGCATTGCGGGTCACGTAACTATAGAGAGAAAGAGAGATAAATCCAAATTTCTCACGTAATAAATTCCGCGCGGTACACGCAACATTTATCCAGCACGTGTTAGTAATAATCGCGTTATTTTTATCCTCTGGTTCGGTTGTTACCGAGCGAAAAAGATCGATAAATCTGAACGGCTCGAATCGTCGTCGTTGAGATTCGGGTACCCGCAAAGTGATCGAGCGGGCACTTTCTCTCACCTGCCGTCAGGTGAGCGACTTCGAGATCGTAATTCACGTCAACGTCGGCGCACGCGGCCGACACGGTGCGGTATGAACGGCAGAATTTACGCGGGTACATACGCCCGACGACAAGGAAGGATCGATCAGCGTCCTGATCCCACCTCGTCTGCCACCGTGCGAATGTCTAATTGCTGTTGCCGCGCTAACTGGGTCAACGGTATATTATTTCAGATTAGCGGCGGAGCGGCGAAGAGCCGATCTCGCCGCGTTGTCATCAGCCTCGGATCTGCGTCTTAAGCAAAGTAGTATTTAACGAGAGAGAGTCGCTATTCAACATAAAAACCGACTATCAATATTGAGTCCGACAATTTTTAATAAACTAATGTCAGAGATAATCTGAATTATTAACATTTTATTCAATCACGATAACTTTATGAGAAAGACATTTTTGTTAAAGTATTTCTCTCTCTCTCTCTCTCAATATTTACAAGTTTCGTAACTCTATCAATTCTTAATTTTTACGAGAAACGGATAAATTGATTAAAACGGATGTCTCGAATCAATCTTACATCGAATTCAAGTATACCGAAGACAAAGCTTTACGCGTCGAAGAAGCCTTGTTTGCACGAATGTTACTGTTGTGTCCCAGAATATTTTCCTCGCATTGGAATCTACAATGGAAAATTCGTTGACTGACCTCTTGAAACTCGCATAATTCGCGCATCGAGCAATCCTGTGTCGTACGGCTCAAATAGATCTGAAACTGCTCCGGCCGAGCACAGATTAAACTCCGCTCCCTTTCCTTGTACCGCTTCTCTCTCTCTCTCTCTCTCTCTCTCTCTCCCCCCCCCTCTCTCGCTTCCTTTCTGTTTCTATCGGGAAAGTAAATTACTTTATAGCGCTCTTTGTGATCGCTCGAGTGCTTCCGAATAAGGACTGTTTCATGTGCGCGAGCGAATTCGATGGAAATCGAGACAATGAACTCGGGTCATCAGTCGATGCCGTTGTTGGATTAACGATCGACCCGTTTAATAGTTTTTTTTTGCCTCTATTTACATTTGCAGTGAAAAATTTTCAATGTAACTTTCGCGGTTGAAACACCATCAAACGGTCGACGTGCGCTGACGTTCCTATAGCGCCCCTAGCCTTGCATTACGATAGTTAATCACCGTTCGGATCAGAAAACGTAACCGCGATCGTATCGTCTTTGCAGCGAGACGCGTTTCGCACGAGATTACCGCCGATTAAGAAAAAAGTTATCAAGTGGAAATGGCACACAATGTAACGTTTTCAGCGACGTCCATCTCCGAAACTGTTTTAGCTCTGACGAGAAGGGTGAAGCCGGGAGGTTGGGCGGAAAATAGAATTGAAAACATTCGATCGATCGTACCGAGCAGCGAGCCAATGATCGCGAAACCGCGTGAAGTTTCTATTCTTGACAATCCATTAGCCTTCGGCTAGAAAGGCTCGCACACGGTATTGCACATGGGAATATTCGATTCGAACGCATAATTGAGAAGATCTAGAACGTACTTCACCGACGATGAAAATTTAAATGAGAGCCTGTCAAGTGCGCTTTGTCGATCAATTCGCCCAAGCTTTTGTGCGCGTATCGCGTACGTGTGCGCGTGAAACTTTTCATAATTTGTTATTCTAATCGTCATCAAATGCGAAATATATCCGCAAATTGACATATTAAATTAACGTGACAGATATTAAAGCTCATCATAATTTGACTGGGGCTGCCGCACTATTGATCGAGATAATGAACGATATGTCTCCATTTTCGAAAGCTATATCGAGAAAACCGCGTTGACGAAAATTAATTGGAAATAAATCTCTGCTGAATTTTTTTTATATAAAAAGAGATTATAAAAAAATGTTTACTTCGTTGGCACTTTAAGTAAACGATAATATAATTGAACGAAAGAGAGGGAGTTATAATAGCGAGAGAGTATGGAAGACAAACGGCGAAGAATTGATGTATCCTCGATAAAGGCTGCTAATATAATCAAGAGAACTCTCGGAAAGATGGAAGTCGCTCGCTAAATCATCGAGCGGATATTCTGGATTAGAGCGTTTATTAAGCTTCGATAAAAATCACAGCGCAATTCCAGCTCGGGCGTCGGGTGGAATTTTGCATGCGGGCGCAATGGGGAGGATTTTGCACGGCGCAGGATATTGAATCTGGTGCGCGCGCGAAAGGTGTGGCGGGCGGGAAATAATAAAAAGAACGCCACGCGACATCGCGTGTCTCCGTCGAAATGTCTCGACGATCGTCGCCAAGTCTCGATTAGATAATTTTACTTGTGTAAAAATCGCGCCCCCATCTCCTCGTCACGTTGTCCGCGCTTTCGGCGATTAAAGTTTACGCGATTAGCGCAGCAGCTGTCACGAGGGAAGGAGACAGAGAGAGAGAGAAAGTGCGAGCGCATGAGGCGAGCTCGTAACTTCGCTTTAATTATTCGCGATAATATCTCACGCGCGATTAAATTTTCGTGATAAATTCCGCAGTATTATTCACGCGCAGAACCGCAATCGCTCCCCTCGCAGCCAGGAGAGCGGCGTTCCTCTCCTCTGCACTCGCGATTCATTACATAACGAACTTTGGACTCGGCGCGTAAACATTTTCGCGAATCACGCACAGGCTTTCGATACGTGTCATAGGCGAGTTTTTACATCTGTCGATCAGTGGATCAACTTTCGCAAAATTTCGGTGACACTGCGGGAAGCCCGAACCACCCTCCGAAATCCCCATTTCCCGTTCATTAAAGCGGCGAAAGCTAGGAAGGTAACCCCCTCGCGCCTGCCGGCAAGCACACTCGGGAGCCCCGATGAAATCCCGGTCGAAGGGGCGGATAATCCGCGTTCCCAAGCGGTGTCCGCGGACGGAGGGCGAGGACGAGTTTAGCTCGACACTGACCTAACCCTCGCGCGCACTCCAATCCACGCCGGTCTCTCGCAGCAGCTCTCGGGACCGCTGCACACTCGCACGCACTGCACCCACGACTGAAGGTGGGTACCGCGGCTCTCTCGTGGTCGGCGGGGGTGCGCCGGGATCTCGGTCGCTTGGAGGCGCCACCGGGTGCGCGCACCACCGGGCGCGGTGAGACGGACGGAGGGTTGGTCTGCCAGGATAGGGGCGGCGAGGACTCTCCGGGTAGACTCGCGCGCGTCAGGAATTCGGAGCGGCTCTGCGCGCGCGTCCGTCGTCACGCGTTTCCGAATCGCTGCCACGGCGAATACACCGTTTAGAAAAAGCGTTCTGTTTGCTCTTGTCGTGAAGAGCGGTTTCATCGCGTACGAAATAGATTATGATGGAATCGTTGATTCGTGTGTTGGGAGGCGCCGTTAACAGCACGACCCCATCTCGGGCGGCAGTTTTTGGAAGAAATAGCGTTTTATTTGGGTCGTACAGTTTAACGCGTCGGCATCCTTAACAAGCTCAGGCAATTGTCTTGTGACGTTAATTGCGCGATTTTTCAGGATTACCGTGGGACCTCGCTGAATACTAAACCCTCCACCATAAACGCGATGCGAAATGATTAATCATACTATCGCCGCGCGGATAATCTCGTTGAAAAATTGGCTCGTTTGCACGCGGCGTTGTTGCCCGGAAAATAATCCGAAACAAGAGTAACGTCGCGCTTCTAACATAGAATATCGTAATTTTCCATAATTATACTGTCACCTCGAACATACGTGAGCTCGATCGTCTCGTCTCATCAGTTTAATCTAAATTCGCCATGTTGAGTCTCCTTCGGGCGACGAATATGCCATTCTCGCTAAATATGCAGCCGATACCGATGCTGGAGATACAGTTGACGACGCCGGGAGAGATAGCGGATCTCTCGCGTGAATTTAATTTAACGTCGTTCTCGTGTGAGGCCCATAACTCCATCGTTTTACAGCGCAGGACTCCAGCCAACTCCTGCGAAGAGAAGCTCTAGAAGCGTAACGACGCCGCGGCTGGTTTCTTAGCCGGAACAATGTATCGGTAGCGTCGTATAACGGAGCGTATTAACCGCCGCAACTAAGCTTCCGACGAGTATTGATGAATTAAGACGGCGATAGGGTAAAGCGAGTTCGGCGTGGCTCTTTCGTGAGTCGAAGACAGACCGGATCGCAATGAAACACAAGCGGCTGGGGAGGAAGGAGGGGGACGAGTCGTTTCGATTCAGAGTAGCTCATTTATCACCGGACTTCGGGCGCTAATCCCCCTCTCGACGACTAAGGAAAAAACGGGGGTGGATGGGAGGTATACGCCGTGCCGGCGGCAAACGGAATAAAGCGGGTGAGGGTTGTTTGCCAAGAATTAAACTCTTCCCCCTTAATTCATCGGACAGGTCGTTATGGTGCGGACGCTTCAAACGGACGTGAACCAGAAATCCAAATCAAATCGTCCGCCGCTTCGTTCGCGCTCGAGATTTCCTCTCGCTGATCCTTACGAGCGCCTTGAGTATCGACCACCGCGAGAGATATTTTTTCCCGAGAGAACGATTAAATATTCCGGTGTACGATGAATTACGATGCTTCCTGCGCGCCCGCGTTTCGCACGATCATCGTTCTTAATCGTCTCCGAGGGAAAAGTAATTGAAGGAAGCGAAGAAGAAGAGAGAGAGTGAGGGACACGTTCCAATTAGGGAGATGGATTTCGAAACAACTTACCGCGGAAAATTCGATCGTCGTTATATCGCGCGTATCACACTCGATGTGACGTCACTTTGTGCCGAAAGCCTCCCTTTTGCATCTTTTCGCGAAACGTAAGCTCAATTCCGTCGCGTAAAGCCGCGACGACAAAAGCATCACCTGCTTTTTTCAGCAGGCCGAGTCGATTTTTCTCTCCAGACCATTGTGCGGCGTTACACATCCTGTATCGGGCGATCGGAGTGAGGCGGGGGCGGTGATGGTGGTGGGTTGACGTGGGAGTTCCATACTTGAAGGGGGTCTTGGCGAGATTCCAATAATCTCCTCGGATCACCACCATCGGCACTACCTATTCCTCGCGATTCAAACTGGGCACGTGAGGTCGCCCGACCGATTTACCGCTGTCCAACGTACGTGTGTACATACGTGTGTCGCGTGCACGTGTACGCGTGTGTGATCACATCGAGGTGAAAAATGTCAGCTGGCGTCACCGGAATTAGAATCCGGGAAAATACAAGCCGGAAAAGTACGCGATTGGGCCATCGATCTTGCGCCCGTGTCTGCTTACGTGAAAGTTACTCCCCCTCTTTCCTCTCTTTCTTTCTCGCTCTTTTCTTTCCCCTTTCGCCCTTTCTTTCTTTGTATGCGAGTGCAACGCAAAATAAAAAGAAATCCGTCGACACAAACGATTACATTTTAGCAGCTGTATGCTCGGGTTAAGTGGAATGCAGCTCCGAAATGTAGAAAAACATCGTCGTGGAGAACCGTTTTCTCACTGTTGACGCTAATGTAGAATCGCGCGCGCGACATGTGAAGAAAATCGATCGCGCACAAAGGAACGAGTCGCTCTGAGAAGGCTGAGGGATACGCGATTATTAAAATCGACAGAGTGATAAGCTGGAAATTTTGCACGACGCGACAACAAAAAGCTGATATCACGCGCCGTTGTTACAATCGATCGTTCGCATTCACGATTACAAGAAGGGAGGCGCGAACGTTACGAGGAGAAAGACGGGGGGTGATCCATGAATACTTTTCAGGGTGCGTCCGGTGACCCGGTAAAAGTTAGATATCCAAGACGACGGAATTTAAAGCTGGCTCGCTCCGGGCGTAGCAACTTGATTGGAGTCAAAGTGTCCTCGATGGAAATTACCTCTGTATTACCGTCGAGATTTTGCTTCGTATATGTAGTCAAAGCACTCAGCGGATACGCTCGCGAACACAGAAGTTACTATTAATTTCAAGTCCGACACAGTTCGCGATGTTTCAGCGGCAGGAGTTGATTCTCAGTTTAAATCGAGTTATCGCTATAGAATTTCCAAACTGTGATCCGCGCCACTCTCTCCGAGGCCACGGAGAAGATGAAGGGATATATCCCTTTTATTGAGAGAGAGAGAGAGAGAGAGAGAGAGAGAGAGAGAGAGAGAGACAGACAGAGCGTTCAGTAGATTATAATCCGCGACGTGTATCGCTAAGCCTGATTAAAATTCGTCCATTATCTTGGCGAGGGGAAAATTCCTATTCGCAAGTTGTATTTTAATTGATTGATAGCGCGCGCAAAACATACATATTGAGTAAAAATTTCGCACGACAGTATAAATTAATGGAGCACGCGAGTGCAACTTTCGTGCACGTACACACGCAAATTGGACGAATTGATCCTTCGTCTCTGCGCTGTCGTTAATTATAACTTTGAATAGTTATTTCTGTAAATTTCGTTGTGTCGCGCAATCGATGTTGTTTCGTCATCGTCGTTGTGGGCACAAGGAGTTGGTTTTGTTTCGCGATGTCGAAGTAGAATCTTCCCCGAAACTTTCGAGTTCTCTTTGACGGCTCTTTCGGGCGCAAATCTGTCAGAATCAACAGAGGCCTCGGCGCGAGTTGCTGCCGTAGGAAAGCGTACTGCACACGATGTTGATTCAGGTGTCTACCCCTGGAACTTTAGTAAAGAAGAATATATCTTCGTCATATATGTTCCGGCAAATATTTTACAGTTTAACGCAAACATATTTCTTCGCCATCATTGCGACGCCGATCGGCGGTGCTCAACTCGTCCTGTCGTCGCGAGACCACCGATAATCGCGCGGCAAAATCGTTAGGATCGTTAGGATCATTCTTTCGATATCAAGAGTATTAACGTCCCTCCTCGCAGTAAATGTTGAGCGCGTTGCGAAAACTCGCGGCAAGATAAATTCAATTAAACGGAAAAACGATCGCACAAACATTCAGCACGATCGACAGTTTAATTAAATTTATTTTGCATCCGGCGCGAAATCAAGCGGGCATGCTTGATTAAATCTATTTTGAAAATCCGATCGCGCATCATTAAAATTCAACCGGTCGAAAATTTGGAAACCTTCCCATCTTTATTGTCGAGAAGACGTGAAGAGTTCCAAGCTCTCGATTGAACGGTAATTCTAAATCTAGCGGTAACGTGATTAATGTAAACTTGCGTCTGGCTCACAATTCTCACAATACGTTACGCAACAATATAATAAAAAAATATTAGTTGTCGTTACACGACGAAAAGGCAGGAGAGGGTCGAAATGAACACGTAATTTTTATTTTTCACGATCAGTATTTAACCGTGTCGACGTATTCTCGTCTATTTTGTTGATATCACCTAGGGTTCTCCACTTGGTTTCACGTATGAGCACATAAGCACGTGCATATGGCGAGAAACGGCCGGAAAGGGAAACAACGATTCCGCAGTGATTCGGCAATCCTGGAGGACTGCAGTTTGCTCGCATTCAGATGCCAAGCGAAGGCGACTCGACAAATTGTGCCAGTAAGCTTGGACGTCTGCAAGGACCTCCGCTGCAAATTTCAACAATTCGACGGCAGTGCCAACCTGTCGTCGGCCAGGGTAATTCCCCCGAGAATTTTCCGCGAGGATTCCAAGCGTAGTTGATATTCGATCATTGATGATGTATCCTCGGTTTCTTTCGAAAAAGTCATTCTCGCGATCGTCCGCAATTTTGTCAAAATAAACACGAGGCAAGCGTGCGATACGTTTAGATAATCGATTTTCACGATTCACCTAAAATCAAGGAAAAATAACCAAATCATCGAGTTATTATACGTATAATGTAACAAGATGTAACCGCATTAAATTATAACGGTAGACAATTAATCGGTCATACAATAGCGATAATAGCGATAATAACTAGATTCTATTCAATTAGCTTTCTATTCAAGCAAATAATTTCAATTGCGTTAGATACTTAACGATTACGGTTACACTATCATCCGCGTTTAATCAATACGTAAACGCATCGTCTGTATTCGAATTACCGCGACTGTTAACGTGACTTGTTTTAAATTCCATTAGAATGTCCAACCGTGGTTGGCGCGTAAAAATTTAAGTAAATTAGCACGGCACGGCCGATTAAAAACACTGCTTCTTGCAATTTGCGCGGTTTGTTTGCACGGCTTTCCCTATCTCTCTCCCTCTCGTTGGAGCTTATGAATTATGAATGTTCTTTCGTAGCGGCTAAAACATTTTCGTGCAACTCGTTATCTCGTCGTGCGAAAGCACTTTACCATTTTTCTAATAAAACACTTATGAGTATTTTCTTTGAAGTGAAAAGGCCGAGAGAGTTATTTCTCTTAATTCTCGGCTCCAAAGTTACATTTTTCCTATCATGTGAGTTACATTATTAAAAACGCATTTAGTTCTATCGCAGTTCGCGTGCGAAAAGGTTCAAATGACATTACGGATGCTGAGTCTTTCCATTCACGAATTTGCTTTTATGTTTTTAGAGTTCGAGATTCTACATTGATTAATCATACAATTTTATTACATAGAAGAATATATTTCTTATACCTTTACGATAATATAAACATTGAATTATATTATATTATATTATGTTATATTATATAAACATTGAATTATATTATATTATATTATATTATATTATATTATATTATATTATATTATATTACTTAAAAAATGAAGGTTCTTCTGACCTGCGTTGACTCTTACCGCAACTTCGATTTGTCAGTAAAAGCAGTGACGGCTGGTAACGAGGACTTTGAAACTACGTTCTGATATAACAGCCGATCCTCTAAATGCGACTAAATAGACCACCTGGTACCATCTAGCGGTAGGAGCCAGATAAAAATGCCCTGTAACATTTAGTTATGAGAAGTCTACGAACATCATATAAAAAAAACCTATCAACACAGAGATTAATGGAGTTTAAAAATATCGAGCAGATAAGTAATCCTTTGATAAGAAAGAAGGAAAAAGATGAGAAAGAAATGAGTATCGATTTATCGATCGTATATCACACTCATCTTTGGTGCTCTTTTTGAAAAACTCCGAATGCATAGCTTAAATAGAAGTTTAAAACAATTTTGTCATCATTGTATTGTAATCTGCGATAAAAAAATGTGCTTTTTTTGAACGCGTTATTTTACCTTACTGAGTGCAGATAACGTAGAAAGTCCTGTGCTACCTATTTATACCTCAGTAAGTCGCGCTTTTACCAAGTGAAGTATAGTCGGCTTTCACCAGCTGTTATGCAGCTATATATGCGAACATTACAGTATTATGTCTTTTATCTTTGTCAAAAATGTATATAATTGGTCGTAGAATTTCTAATTATCAGTGCAAGGAAAAATTTGATTTGCGCCGTCATGAATTACGTATTAATCTACTAAAAAGTTTTATGAATTAACGAGATAAATAATTTTTCCATTTTTATACAAAATATATAAATAAAACAAGATCTGAAGTGCCGAAAAATTGAAACTGTGGTCGGTGTAGTGTGGACTGTTTCGTTGGCAACCGAAACCGAAATGGCACGTGAGAATCGTGAGAGCCTCGGACTGGGTTATTTCTGTAATCGTACTGGATTATTATTTCAACGCAGATACGGACGTATACGATATAAGTGTACAGCACGCTAAATAGTACATTGCCCTGAAGAGTAGAAACGATTAAACGCGTCTAATTTTACCTAGGTTAAAGTCGACGAAATTGATGACTCGATAACTTTCTATTTGTCTTCTGGCCAAATTGTACCGGAGAACTTCGTGAATGTCTTTATAAACAGGCGCGCGTACGCGGAAGTGAAGAGAGAGAAAACACAATTTAGATCAGATCAGATGCAATTGATCTAGGCAGTTAGCAAATCTTGTTATTGAAATTATTCTGAAACAAAAGACATGGTTACGATAAAAATACAACACATTATCCATGACACGAAATGTCACTCGTCGACGAGTAGCAACATTTTTATTTCCGGACGATCGTACAAATAATTTTTGTGGAATGTATGTGATAATGCACGTAAAATATCTTTTTGTCTATGTGTTTGCGCATCCTTTCTCGGCGACGTATTGTAGGCTCATTAATTCACCGGACCAAACATTATCATAATCGATAAATTAGGTAGCAGCGACTGTACGCTCTCGGTAATCGGAAGCACAATTATTTCGTGGTTGACATGTCCCATCGGATCGATATATCTGGCGTTGTACAATACTCGTGTCCACATCCGTCCTCATGACAAACACTTCACCGGCAGTTCCATAAATTCCCGTCGTCTTCGCGCGAATCCGCAATAAATTAAACGCAAGGTGCCGACATTGTTTTGTTTACGATAACGTTATGCAAAGATTTTGAATGCAAGAAATTATGGATTTTACAATTAGCAGAATGGAATATTACAGTTCTTTCGTTCGTAATTTCGCCGTTTATCTTCGTAGTCTCTATTAACTCGCTGATGGGGACGATTTCTTTTCTAGCGTTTCTAAAAGTAGAATTATAAATTATCTTCGTGATATATGTAATATTGGTCGCACGGCAACAAGCAGCTACTGACTACGAACTACAAACTAGAATGTACGTTATCGCTGATATCCAATCGCCAATAATCAACATCTACGAAAACGTTTACACTAACGGATTGCCACTTTCGATACGATAACGTTTCACTTCTCTATGTTTATATAATTTATCTCGATATTTTCCTTAGCAGAAGTTCCTCTTGAATTAGAAAATCGGCAAAATTATACCAATTCTCATGACTTGTAATGTTATTGTAAAATCCATGTTCGTATAACTACGCAAATAATCTCGGCATTATTCGCAGTTTCTGTGATGCACCTCTCCCTCAATCCGTAGGTTCGGACCTACAACACGTCACCATCTTGTAGTGAGCCGCGTCCATCGCGTGGTTCAGCTGTTCTTTGAGCTCTCGGGCTTTCACGTATACGTCTTCCTTCATTAAATTGTAGCACATGGCAATAAGACCCATTCCCAGCAGCAGGTAAACGAAATTAATGATGAGCTTTGTCTGGTTGCTCTGTGCGGAGTCGCCTTGCTTCCAGCCAGGCACCAAGTCGCCCAAACCGATCTTGCAGAGCGACGTGACGCAAAAGTAAGCGCTGTCCAGGTAATCCCAATCCTCCCATTCGGCGAACATGATCGAACCGGCGAGAATGTAGCCGAATATCACCCAAAGACAAGCGGTCGACGGTACGGTGATCCTCTGTCCGGGTTTCCGTTGGCCGGTGCACTCGTGCAGTCGCGTATACAGCCAACGGAAGGTCTGCGCGAGCACCTTGCCCATGTTGAGGAAGTAGAGCACGTAGAGCGGAATGCCGAGGACCGCGTAAACCACAGTGGCGCCTTTGCCCCACTGGGTCTTCGGCACCAGGCTGCCGTAGCCGATCATCGTGAATACCGACAGGCAGAATATCAACGCCGCCGGGAACGTCCACAGATCGACGGCCTTGAGGCCGCTGCAGTTGACCTTGTTGCGCTCGTTGGTAGTGATGTTCTCCTGGTAGCGCAGCAGGATATTGTTGGACACCTCGCAGAAGGCGGTGCGGTTGAACACGTTGACCGATTGATTGCTCGCGGTGCCGAACCACAACTCGTCCGCGTACTCTTTGCGGATGGCTTCGCGCACGCATACCACCTCCGGCTCCTCCATAGTCTCGATCGTCATGAAACCGAAGGCTCCCACGATCGCGTAGCCCACTACCAATCCACCCACGCCCACCTGGGTGCACATAAAGGCTACCAGCTTGCGACAGCAGTCTTTGACGCGTTCCCGCGGATCGACGCCGGTCGACGTCGAGGACGAGTCTCGGCTCCTCAGGGAGGACCTCATCATCGGGACGCCGGAGCGCGGCATATTCCGACGCGAACTACCAGCGACGAAGGGACGCACATGGAAAACACCACCACCTTGATGCTGATACTCGGCGGCAACTCGCGCGCCGCTTTTCTATTTCTGGTTTACGGGACGCCCCTCCGCGCGTAGATTTTCCTTCTCGTTTTCTCCTCCGGAATTCTGCTCTATCTACTTCTCGGCCCTCCCCCTCTCTCTTTTTTCACTTTTCTTTTTTTAATCGTGCAGCCCCTACCACGTTGCGTGACTACATTTCCGTGGACCACTCTCCTCTCACGGGTCATTCTCGCGAGATTGGAATCGGTGTGGTGGCTTGGAATTTATCGTTGGACGCTTATACGAAGAAAATATACAAATTGAAAGTCGAGACGTTAGCTCTTAACTATTTAGGATTGAATTCAATCAATCACTCATGGATAAGCTGCAATTATGATGGACTCAAGCTTTCGAATTAGACGGGAGAGTTATGTGATATATATATATATATATATACGTCGGACTACTTGAGATCGCATACATTGTGAGCTAATGCTGCCGCGTGTTATTTTGACTAGATTGTTTTAATTCCGGACGTGACTTACTCCCCATCGACGACGACACACGTCCGTTCGGTGAAAGAATAACTCCGTTACGAAGCGGTTATTCGCACAAATGGACTCTGTGAATTTTACTATTTTTACCGGCGCGTCTACGAACGCTGAATTCGTGGGAACGCACGGTTTGCGTGGAACTTGAAATAGTTACACGGCTGTGACGCTGCCAAATAACATTTCGCCGCGCGAGGCCGATGAAAAGGCTTCTTTAATCACGAATGGAAATATAGCACAAAAGGTTATAATAAGGCTGGCGTTGTGTGAAAGGATTGCAAAGTAGCTGTGTGCGTGTGTGTGTGTGTGAGAACGACTTTAACACGATGTGTCATCGTTCTCGGGATTCCAATCAGCATCACGAGAATATCGGAACTTCGAGGGGGAGATGGAGAGGATCGTGTGACATAATTAACCGCATCATCGTGAACGGGGGAGAATTCCCCTTTGTCGAATTGATTTTCCCTTTGTGAAATCGCATGTGTGGAAACCAGACGTAAATTTAATAATATTTCCCGAGCTGACGTGCTGCGCTATCGTTTTGATTTTAACGTGGATGCCCGCTTAAATGGACTTGTGCAAATCTTGTTAGAATAAACTTTACGACATTGACACTCGCGACATGACTGTCGTTCGTGTTCTGAAGCTAAACGAGATATCTCAGGGAAATATATATTTTGTCTCGAACACCATGGATGAGAATGAAAGAATCGAGCGGAAAAGTTTTAGAATGAAGATTCCCGATTTCAGACGTACAATTTCGTGAAACGGGACTTCTCACGTAAGTTCTTTTTCTTTCTTTCTTTTTTTTTTATTACCATCTTTCATCAGGAGAATGTCAAACTCTGGCGGAAAATTCGTTCGCAATCTGCCGCCGATATCGATTGGAGACGCGCCTCTCAAATTCACTGATCGAGAGTTTTAAGTGAATTCGAGGGGTGGATACCTCGTCAGCGTCTCCTCGAGAAATTTGCTATTTAGATCAGTCGAGTGGCGATCGTCGTTCGAGTTACATCTCGGCAAAATGACGCTATGTGCACCACGTGTGAAATTTGACTTAGGTCGTCTGCTGGTGGTTACGTTAACATTGCTTTGCACAGGTAATGAGAGCACGCATCCTACAAATTTTTAATATTACGCCGGTTTCTTTTTACTCGTATGTCGCCGTGCCGCTTCAGACTTTGCTTCTATTTTCCACTAATTAAATTTCTGAAATGCATATATTCATGCGTTTTCTAAAACATCTTTATATGTATTTTTTAAATCTTCGTCAACAAAAATATCTATATTGATCGCTTTCTTTATATTATAAAATTTATTAAGAAAAAGTTAATTTTAAGAAACCTTTGATTATTCTGATAATGATAGAAACATTTGCTTATATCGGAATTATCTTTTTTAATACATCTTCTTTTCTCCAAAATATTTTTGGAATAAAATAAAAATAATGTTTAGCTCTCGCACTAGTTATATCATAAATCTCTTTTGATTGCATTAATATGGAAAGCGCTCTTGTAAGAATGGTAGAATTACTTATTTTGAGCGAATGTATAAGAATGACGGCAGCTGCACTCGCTCGCTCGCAGACCAAATGTTTCGCACGATCGACCGATGAACGTGCAATTCGCAAACTGCGAATCTAAATTTAAAATTTGAGTCGTGTTTCGTCCGCTCAAGTTTAATCGAACAGTCGTTCCAACAACGGTCTGACAAACACGACAACATGATGTAACGTGTTTAGATTTTTCTCTGTATTCTTACCGCGACTTGCATATTCTTATCATTCGCTCGTAATAGAATAGACATGCATGTCAAAGATGTCAGTAAAAAGTGATTTCTTAATCGCTCCGACACCGATAAGCCGATCAACCGTATCAACACAGACCAATCGTGAATCAGCCGGATCTCCTCCGCATCGTTACGCTGCAACCATAACGATGCCCTGCCTCACCGATGCGTGCACGCTAAATCTCGCGCGATAGCTCTTCGTGTAATCACTCGGGGTTATCCAGTTAGATTTACGCCGGGATTCATCAGTCGTATGCTCGTCGTCATCGCGCTCGTGTGTTATCCATCGCGATCGTCTCTTCCTAGGTGGGTCCCCCGTGATGCATCTCCGCCTGATCGGCCTCGCTCTTTTAGGTAAGGATCTTCGCGTGCTTCACTTGGTTGATAGCTCATTTCCGCCGCGATTACCGTTCCTTTGCCTGCCGGACCGCTGACACTAAATATTAGTATAATGGTCGGAGGATTGCCGGAGAGAAAGAAAAATCCCCGTCGGTCTACGCCGAAAATCTTGATGGATACATTTAAGTTGTTCGATCCATCGCGAATTTTTGCGAATCATCGAAGATTTTGAGTGCAATTGGTGCAGGCTCGCGCAACACAGTGAATAATGCGATTTTGCCCCTTTCCTACCTGCTTCCGCAATTTGCGGATATATTCGTCTCGCGTGCGATTATTTATTTTAACAATCTCTCCACGTGATTCACATCCAGTTACACCGACTTTCGAGCCGAAATGGAATTTCGTGCTCCTCGTTCCCGGCGTATACTTTCGCGACGATCGCTCGGCGCATGCATTTCTATTTATTTATACCCGTGCCGCTTCCGCTCTGTTTATTTTCTCTCACGGCTCAATCTTGGCAACGTTTTTCCTTTCCTCCATCTATCTCAAACGCGCGAGAACAAACTGCAAACCGTAATGTGTAAGTGTACGTCCGATATTCCTATTGTTTGACTCCTTCGTTCGCTCTCAGTTTGCCCTCTGACAATTGTATCACAACGATATTTGTTAAATGATCGCCGGAAGCAACGCATAATCAGGAACGGGAAATACGATTTTTTTCCTTTCTTGCCTCCTTTTTTTCTTTTAATGTGTTTGATCAACGTGTATTACGAGAAAGTATGGGAAATACCAAAAGTCGATCTATTCGTGTTCTACGATCTTATTTCTAACTACCGACGAAACGAAAGCATGCCGATCGGAGATCGCTCGCTATCCCTATAGCGGAAGTGTGCATTATGCTCGTTAAAATCTGCGTGTCGTTTGAGGGATTCGACCGTTGTTGCGGCGCGCCGATCCAGAAAGCGCCGGCGTTTATCCGCTGATTGTGATTCAGTTGTCGACGGCGACGAGGGCGCGAGGACGCGATCTCTTTCGACGACGACTTCGCCGTCGACTTTTCCTCGAGCGTTGCGAGATCACGCAACAGCATTGGTAACAAGTGCGAACGAATTCGCCACGACTTGCGCGGTCAATGAGGTCAATTCTGTTTCCTGTCGCGCGCGTTCAATTACCGATAGAGCCCACCGGAGACCCGAACATGCTCGTGCCGGCGTGGAAATAATTATTTTATTAGCCGTTCGTGCGAGTTCCGGTCAAATTAATACTGCGAGAACGCGGTCGGTGCATTAAAAAACCCATTTAGTTGTGCGAAACGAAATTTGGCTACCTCAACTCTATATCTCTTTTTTGCCTATGGGCAAATAAATATTTTAATTAATATGACAAAACAATTTAATTGGAAAATTTTATAATACTAACACAACACATAAAATTATGGTTTGTATGTAATTAAATTTTGGTTTATACTCTAATATTGTCTCCTAAGTCAATTGTGTGTTAATATTATTAAAGTTTCCAACTAAATTTTTATGTTGCGTCAACCAGCAATTTTTGATAGCCACGTTCAAATAAAAGATTTAGTTGATTTAAGTGCAATTTATTCAGTGAAATCGGTTCCCCTCAATGTACAATACAGAAGGAAATGCATAAATAGTTAAAAAATAAATCGTTTAAGTATCTATCATGTCCTTGATATGTAGCGCAATTCAATGTTATTCAAAGGTCCAAATAAGTAGTATAGAATGTAATAAGCCATAGGAAGAAAATGCATTACATGAAAGTTACACTAATATATGTCACTTTCGTATCTTTAAACTTAAAGTCTCTCATTTATAATATACAGTAACAATTTTATTTCGAATAACTAGCATAACGAGTACAGGGTGTTGCATCAACATACGACTCATTACGACGGGTTGCCTGCCCAAAGGCGCGCAGATAATAATTCCTTGTCGTTATCGACTTACCGATATAGTCACTCGCATACTTTTCCAATCAAGTTCTAGTGTTTCTAGCATCATTCACGCTAAAAGTATATTCTGTTTGTATACAAATGCGAATGCGAACGTAGCAATTTGTTAAAGTGAAAAATTCTTTCTCCGCGAGACATGTACTGATCATGGTAACTAAGATTGCTTGCTTTTTGTAATGTTTTTTTTTTTTTAATAAATGTCCACTAAATTTTATATAATCAGTCAACAAAATAGTTCAAACAAGAAATTTTCATTCAACTAAGTGGGTTTCTCGGTGCGCCGGCTTCAGACAGTGAACTCGTTACGGAGTGCACGTATCCATTTAATGTCGCGGGGACGAATTTTCGCTGTAACTAATGCTACAGAATCGCGCGCGAACAAATTACGGTAAGTAGTGGTGGTGCTCGCACTGTGTAATGTTAACGATAATCGCATAATTTCCACCCATGCAACATAAGAACAATGAACATTGCATGTGTTTTGTTTGTAGGGCTACATGTATCGAAAGCGAATGACTGGGGATACTGGAGTGAAAATGGTAATTAACAATAAAACTTACATATAAAGTAAACATACTTGAAGACACATAGAGATGTTTTATCAGAAACGTAAGATTTATTTTAACGATGATACTTTTCAAGAACACAGGTAAAAGAAATACGAGTGCCGATAGATAACGGACGGATAAAGAGTATTCTCGCAATTTTATACGATCTCAATGTTTCAGTCGCGATAAGCGATACGTGCGGTTTCCTCATCCGGCTTACATGAAACTTACATACAGGCCATTAGCAATCTAACAATCGCGGCCTTGACTGTCAATGGAAGGTATTTAGAGAACAGAATCAGTTTATTGATGAGATAAAGGGATCTTTATTGTTTAAGTAACCGCATTGTTCGCTCATAACACACGCTGTAACACATAAATGACTCGTCTCGTTGCAAAATATTGGGCTGAAAAAGGGTCACTAAAATATCAAAGATATAACATAGAAATTGTAACGCACGTGGATAGAAAATGCAAAATTATGAATCAGGAGACGCGATAGCGTCTCGCACCAAGTATATACACAGGATGTCTGAGAAAAAAAAGTAAAAAAGAATACGTTATTGTACGATTAAACGATAGCACATTCAATCACCGCAATGGCTCTATCCGTGTATTAGTACAAATTTGTTTAACAATTCCACAGGACCAGACAACTGGCCCGGACTGTGTACAGCAGGAAAGAAGCAGTCGCCGATCGATATTGTAACGGAAGATACTGTAAGATTCGATCTTGGTGCACTCAAATTCGACCGATACGACTTCGCGTTTTCCGGCATGGTAATTAACACCGGCCACTCCGGTAAGCTTCACGTCTCGTGATATTAAATACAAAATAATCTTCGGCTATCATAAACAATGTAGATACTCGTGTTTTCGAAATATTTCTAGAAAGAAAAAATAAGAAAAGAAACGCTAATTATTTGCAATTCAAATATCCTGTACGAGTGAGAATATATGTTCGAATCACGTGCTGGAAGGGAGAAGAGGAGGATATAATATTCTTCCTTTCTTACCGGCTTCGATATAATATATAATGTTCTTTTCGTAAGAAGAGAAATATTTTTGAAACACGGCAACAGTGCAAATTACTTTGGACGGAGTGCCGATCCACCTGAGCGGCGGCAGCCTGCCGTCGATATACGTTCTGGAGCAGATGCATTTTCACTGGAGCGCCGAGCATACCGTGGACGGTTTTCGTCATCCGTTGGAATTGCATTTCGTGCATTACGACGTTCAGTACGCGAATTTCAGCGTGGCCGCGGAACACGAGAACGGTATCGTGGTGGTCGCTGTGCTGTTCGAGGTGGGAATCGCGTTAATATTCACGCGACATTCATCGCGAGCTCGTCGTCGCATAGAAACGACATTAACGTGGATACCTTCGTTGTAGCTGAGCAACGAGGACAATCAGGATCTGGCGGCGATTCTAAAGGCGACGGAGTTGGTGTCGCAGTGGGTGGGGAAGAATATGGTGCACATAAGAAAGAAACTAATACCCTATCTGCTATTACCGAAGGACCACACTACGTATTACCGTTATCAGGGATCCTTGACTACTCCGGGATGCCAGGAGTCTGTCATGTGGTTCATCATGACCGAGAAACTCACGGTATCCGAAACGCAGGTGACTCAATAAATATCGATAAAATTTTCCCAATAGCTCAGAGAGACGTTAATTCTCATATTAGAAGAAGAATATTTATTTAACGTGGCAACTTAAAAAATTGAAATAGATCTTTGTTTTATAAGAAAGCTATGCAGCTTCTTTTTCAAGAAAGTTTTGTTACCTCTATTTAAGTTACCTGCATTCTCGCGCACAGGTGAACGTGTTTAAACGCGTGATGAGCGGCGACCACGCCCTAAAGTCCAATTACAGACCTACTCAAGATCTCGGCGACAGGAAGGTGTATCATCGTCTGGAAGGATATTCCGGAACGTCTTCGTTCTCTTCGAGTATAATCTCGAATATCCTCAGTATCGTGCTAGTCAGACTGTTGCAGTTAAGCGATGACTTTTAAAGTTAATTTTTGTTCGACGCATTTGCAGTGTATGTTACAAGGGAGTTCTGTAATTATATCATCTGGTGTTAATATATAAAATTTGACATAGGAAGATCTCTTGCAACGTAACGCAAAAAAATACCGAACAAAAATTTGTAAAATTTTGAGACTTATAGTCCTTCTTTAAATTTCGTTAATGTACAGATCTTTCAGATCTCCAATTGTTGGACTCTTAGGTGTTTTAATCTATGTACAGCAATCTTTTTTATACTATAATATTCTTTCATGTATTATAATTAACATACGTAATATTGTCATGTGAAAGCGCAGGTGAACGTTAATGTCAAACGCCCGACATGTCGCCGATTTGCGAGAACATGCCAAAATGAGTATCAAATAGAGCACAGTGCATTTTTATAAGAATTATTAATTCCTTTTATTCATTAAATTATTTTTTAGTAATATAAATATGCCATAATTGCTGTTTCACTAACGTGGATTACAAGAAAGCTAATGATCACGTCTGTCCCCTCAATAAACAGATTAACCCTTTCGCGGCGAACAGCGCCTTTAGGCGCTCAGCTATAGATGCTCATTCTCAGCGAACAGCGCCGTTCGGCGCTCAGGCAAATTTACCCGCGGCGAACGAACAGCGCCAGATGGCGCCCATCCGGAGCCGCTCTCTTCGTACGAAGGCGCTGTTCGTTTGTTATCAACAACTGCCATTAATGTCCATTAAGTTGTTTTTGACGTGCTAGCAGCATACGCTTCTTGTGCAAAGGTTTTTTTTACATAGTCAAATATTATATACACACTGCGTTCGGAACGACTCGCGTATTTGGTCCGCGCGGTCGATCTGGCATCGGCTGCTTAGAGCGCAACTCTTTCCAGAGCACTCCGCCGCGAAAGGGTTAAAGAGCATACTTATACATTTGCCGCGTTCGATGGATTGTCGTGCGGTATCGTTACACAAATTGATTTGCGGAATTTTATCTCTTGAAATTGTCGTCCATTCAGACGCGATACTAATGTGAGTCGGGAGGAGAAACGGAATTGCGAGAAAACGAGTGAAGCACGGACACGCACCAAATGAAAACATTATCGGCAGTGCCAGAAAGTGGATGTAGCGAAATAGTTCCAACGTCAAAAGTGGATGCAGAGGGCGTATCAAGCAATCGCGTAAAACGGTATCAAGGAAAATGCCGGTGTGGCCGCTTTCAGGTTTCTCTCTGCAGTCACGTGTGGTTACTCGCGAATTGTTTCAATCATTGAAGAAACATGAAAGTAAGGAAAGAAAGTACGGTATCCAAGGAACCAGTCTTGAGGAAGGTTGCCAAAAAGAAGCGAAAGATATCGACGCCGAAAGCAGGTGGCAGTCTCGAGAAAGCGATGAAAAATGTTCAGCAGATTTTTAAGGTTAGATATACCTCCGACGGAGAGTTTGTGCAGAGATACCTCCATCACTTTCATCTAATTTCGATGATATTCTATATTTATCAAATTATTTTATCATGTATATGTTCTTACTTATTTGCGTTATCTTTTTGCTATTACTTTATATTATTAATATCAATGTTTACTAATAAACATTTGTTTTACTTGCTGAGATAACCGTTTTTTTTTTTTTCAGGAGAAAAATACAGAAGTAAAGGCTAAGAAGAAATCTGGTTTAATTGAACCTAAACCAAAATCCAAAACTATATCTAAATCCAGAGAAACTAATGCTAAGAAATCTGATTTAATTGAATCCAAATCAAAATCCAAAACTACATCTAAATCAAGAGAAACTAAAGCTAAGAAATCTGATTTAATTGAATCCAAATCAAAATTCAAACTTATATCTAAATCCATAGAAGTTAAGGCCAAGAAGAAGTCTGGTTTAACTGAACCTAAATCCAAATCTACATCTAAATCCCCATCTAAACCATTACGTAAACTTAGAGAAAAAAAATCTACCGACAAGGGTATAGTTTATATCGGACATATACCTCATGGATTTTATGAGGAACAAATGAAAGACTATTTTGAGCAATTTGGGAAAGTAACACGGATACGAGTAGCAAGATCTAAAAGGGTACGTATATATCTTAAGTACACTGAATCATTTTGTAAATATATTGTTAAAGTAAAAGTTGTTCAAATTGTCTCCATAGACTGGAAAAAGTCGTGGCTATGGCTATGTTGAATTCATGCACAAGGAAGTTGCTAAAATTGCAGCGGAGACTATGAATAATTATCTCATGTGTGGTCGATTGTTGAAAGGTATCGTATTCATTTAAAATTACTTCAATATATGTCGTATAACTTGATATTGCATGGTTAGTGCTTTTCTCATTTATATGATATGCGTAGTCAGTTTCAATATACATTCTCTTTTCAGCTACATATATACCACCTGAGAAGCAACATTTTGGATTCTTCTCGGGAGTAAACTGGTCGATGGAAAATTATCCCAGACTCAAAAATAGACAAAAAGTAACATTACAGAGAAATAGTATTCAAAGTGCGGAGGACCACCAAAATTATGTCAAGAGCTCGCTCAGTAAGCTGTCTGTGTTAGAAAGTAAACTGCAAGAAAGGGGAATTAGCATAAAATTTCAACCCGTAGATGTACCGCAATCGTAGTAATTTCACTTTGCTTTATTAAGTACTTTTATAATCGATTATTTGTGCGGAATAAAGAACGGTAATTTGTCCAATGCGACAAATACTTCGTTTTTATTTCCTTAATTTCCTATAACACTAAGTATTGTACACAAACTTTTAAAGCTTCTAACCGTGCTGATCTAGTTTAGACAGCGTTTCGTGTCCGCGCAAATCGTTATGTACAATCGTATCCCGATGCTGTGTACTGAATTTTCGTCGCAATTGCGAGAGAGATACGTCACGACGCGATAGTCGCATCCTGCACATTAGCCATGCCGCCTTTCGTCCGTTTCCATTTCATTCGTCTGTTCTGGAACCACACTTTTACCTGGAAAAACCACGGTTGAATAGAATAGTACGAAGACGTACATATGCGACGCACGATTGATCTACCTGACGTTCCGTTAAATCCAATGCCACGGCGATCTCGTAACGCCGCAAACGCGTCAGATAGTTGCTCTGTGCAAATTCGTACTCCAGGTGTCGGACTTGCTGCTTTGTGAACGCTGTTCTCTCCTTCCGCGGCTTCTCGCTTGTCCTTTTCGTCGTCTCTATAAAGGAGTGATCGAACAAATTGCTGAAACATCTGTTCCGAGTTAGGGTTTCCTGCCTTTATTTCTCTCGTTACGCGAAAAACAGCGGTGTAATTTTTGTAAAAAAAAAAGCACAAATGTACGTTTGCGAAAAAATGATTTCGAGGAGATCGCGCGGATCGTGGCGTCCACCTCGACGACGGTCTCGCGCCGCGCGATTTCCCGCGGCGAGATTTCGCGGCGGCTTTTTGCCGCCGTCGGCCAGATGAAAATAACCGTGCGTACGATGCGTCAGTGCGGTACACCATCGCTTGCGAAATGCCGCTGGATGCGGCTTCTAACACACGGCGACACGTGCAGCGCTCGCTTTCTCGGGGCCCTTAACTTTGCTTCCGTGCCGCTATCTCGTCTCTAATTGCTGGCTGACGTCAATCTCTCTCGTGGTCCGCGGCTCGCATCGATAGCCACTATCGAGTCACTTGAGGTCTACTCGGATGAATTTACACGAACACACGAACTGGAGAATTATCAGAGTAAAATGTAATGTTTTTTTTCCCCGCGAAGAATGTTGCGATCCGTACGAGCGTCTTGATGTAATAAACGCGAGTAACAGTATGCCACGATTATCGTAGATTTCATTTCATTATAGATTCATGGACACGATGGTAAACAAACGAGATGGAGATTTCTCGACTGGGAAAATTCATCGATTATTCGATCAACCGCCCGTGTGACAGACAGAACGGATTAAAATTGAACAGTGTGATGACACGCGAGGCATTTATTACGCAAGATGCACACACCAGCTCGGTGCAGATAGACATCCGATAAATATTTAGCTTGCACTGGGCCCGTTATGGCCGCATTGGCGACGCTGAAGACATAAACCTTCCAATCATATTATCAACGATTCGCGTCGCGGAAATCTGCGGTAGTTGCGATCGGAAATGTTTCCAGCTAACTTCTCGCGCGCAGTTGGAATTTCTATAATTAGATCTCCTGCGATAACAGCACCGGAATAATTGCCTTCTGATGAGCCCTTCGGGATATTCCTCGAGAGACTTGTCTAATTAAATGTCAACGAATCCTCACCTGTAATTAATTTTCTCCCAAATAATTGGCATATTATCCGGTATGATTTTGATTTCACTTTGTTTTTAATATAGGTAGAACGCGATTTTCAAGACAGGACGGGTGCTAATTAAGGAGCAACGCGTTACCTCGTTCTTGCGGGCGCGCTTCCTCCTCGCGGAATAAACTCGCGTAGCTCTCCCTGTGCTGCGGATCCTGCCAGGATTGACACTTGATCTCGTGCTCGCAGTCCATGATCGTATCCTGCAAATGAGGCATTTGCCAAGCGCGAAATGTCGTCCCCGCGCTCGTCGTGGTGGTTACGCAGCGATCTTGATTCGCGTACGGGAGATCCTCGCAGGATACGCACGGAGATCTCGGACCCTCCTTTTCATTCGATTGATCGATCATCGGACGACTATCCGCGGCGACTTGCTCCCATCTCGCGAGTGGAAAATACATTGCGATAGATTAATATGTTAATCGACGGAATCACATTGTGAGAATTTCTTTTACGTTGCGTCATATGTATATTGCACTGACCAGTTATGATTACATTTCAAAAAATTATATATTCCAGATTTTTCACACACAGAAAGAGGTACCGATGAAATCTTACCTGCAGGTGCGATAGTTTTGATTGGTGTCGGTGCTTTGAAAGAAATTCATAATATAAGGTGGAGTGAGGAAACGAGCGTTCTCGTCCGTCGCGACGTCGAATGGCGCGCCGCAAGGATTCGACGGGCTGCTCCAGGACCACCTGTGGTACCAGGATGCCTCGCAACCTGTTGCCGATCTCACGTTTTGCCCTTCTGGGTGAAGAGACGACGGGGTCGGTGGTGTCGGTGGTAACTCGAAGTGATCGGATATCCGATGACTGGTCGGAATCGTGTCTTCCGACCACGACGACATCGTGCGACTAGCAGCGAGTAAAAATCCAAGGACTTACTCGGAAGAATGTGGACAATTTGTCGAGCTGTAGAGGGACCCGATAAGATATGGTCCCTTCAGATATACGTTTTTTTTTCTATAGAGTAAAACTTCGGAATTGCACCCGAGAGATACTTGAACCACTGACGGCGCGTAAAGTATCTATCAATTGTCACTGTGTTACACATCGACGATTACCGCAGGGTTGACTCCGCGCGCGGCTCGGTGCGAATTGCGTTAGCGCCCACTCGGAAATGTCAAACGAGCATGTGTGACGGCGTCGTCATAGGGCCGGGGGAGCGTCACGGAGAACGCCGTCGTGGGAGTAGGGCCGCGTGGAAGCTTCGGAATCTTCCTCTGCGTTCCCCTCCGCTTTTTGACCAATCCCCGTACGTGTCGTTCCTCGCGGCCGAGGCGACTGGTCGGCGAGAGAATTCGAAACGGTGACACACATACACACACATATACGAGCTGTCGGGTTTTTTTCCTTTTTCTAAATTTTCAGATAAAATTTCAGGATAGGGTAACGCATCGCTCTGTATTCTTGCGATCTTCAGCAACTGCTGATTTTCAGCGATGCAGTGAAAGTCTGGGCAACGACGCTGAGAGAGCTATTTTTAGCGCGCGGCACGTGCTTATTGTAACATTCGAGTAATTTGAATTGCATCGAGGTGTTTGTTTGCGTTGGGACAAATCCAACCGCATCTCACCCCGGCAATCATGGGTCAAAACGTGATCCATATTCCTTCCACTTTGAAATACGACACTAACTTCCGACTTCGGGAAGCGTGTCATGCTATGTTAGAAAGGAAGAAATCATTCGCTTCGGTCACTTGGAGATTTCGTACATTCGTTCATCGAGTTTGTATCTTATTCTCTTTCTCACGACTGAGACGACGGAATTTTCGCTCTCTCCCTGATTTACACGGATCGTCCTGATGAAGAATCGATTCAACGTCAATCGCAGGCACGATCTCGCGCTACCGACGGAAACCGCCCCCTAGGGTGAGGAAGGATACGGCCGGCCGTGGAAGACAGGGTTGTTTTCCTTGTCGAGCCGATTCATTCACAAATTCGTCGCCGGCGTTTCATTGATTCAGGATGGCCATTACTCCGTCACGAGGAGCGTAAGTCAATCTCGGGTGGGGGCCCACCTAAGAAAACACGCAGGAGCGAGAGAGCGAGTGGACCCCGGCCGGTGTTTCGACTCCTCCTCAAGGGTCGCGCGTCTCCATTAGTCATCGGTATTGTTTGGCTTCCTCTCTCGCGCCCCTTCGAGCCTGAACGCCGAAAGAGCGACTCGCGAGAGACCCGCCGGCCACTTCGCACAGGAAGAGGGATTCCCTGAAACACGAGACGTCCCTCGAGCGGTGCCGAGCGGTCTGCCGAAGACGGCAACGACCGCGCGGAAACCGCCGTTTCTCGCTTTGCGGTGGCTTCGCGGGTCGGTTCTTCTTTTGCTCGATTAAATATGTATCGCCCGTCATATTTTCACTGGCGCATCAAGGGGGGCCTATTTATTATAAATTTAGTTATTTATCAAGCAAAATTACGTTCCTCATACATTTATGTCACTACTTAAATAATAAATATTAATTTGAAATGAAATCGAGATATGTACACAATATTTTACATATCGAAAAACGAGTTGAATCAGTTTGAGCAGCGTTTGTTCAAGCCGACGTGTGAACAAACGATACTTCGAAAGCTGTCATCAAGATCGCCGTTGACTTCCCTTTCCCACGAGCTTTGTTTTTCACGGCACGGTACACTTAGAGCGGACAATATCTCACAAACTGCGGCTTTTTGCCGTGAAACCGAACTCTAAATTCCGTGGGACGTCGCGTGGAAAGGAGAGGGGAAAAAAAGTGAAATCCCACAATGAACACACTTGTCGCGGCCGAGTCTTCTGTCCGAGCATAAATCCGTGAGTAAGTGGCTGGATTTCTCATCAGCGGTGCCAGAAGGAGAATTCTCATGCGAGTAACTCGAAAGCTAGATGCTGACGCCGACGTAGTCGTGTCCGCAGCAGATCGAGCGTAGGTATATATTAGACACCCACGTGTCCCTCGCGATTATCCGATAGTTCGCTATCGTGACATCTTGAGATCAACTGTTCGCTGCGCGGCGGTTGATTGCGGGTAATGATAATTCGATCATGGCAAATTGGCGCGGATTCATTTGGTAATTTCGGAAAAAACACCTCGTTATCAATGAAATGTCCGGGTAGTTTCACAGATGTCGACGCTACGCCCACGGCTCCGTTTCCATCAGCTGATGGTCTCGAAATGTGACCTTGACTCCCCGCAGTCTCGGCGCTTTACCGAAATTATGAGCGCGCGATCACAGACGCGTCGGCGATCGTATATTCCCGGCGACGATGCAGTTGCGTAACGAGAGAGACTCGACGCCCGCGAAAAAGTTACGGGCTAATGGTGATCGGCAATAAACGTCGGTGTAAAGCACGCGGAATGATGACGGCGCACGGTGTGGTGCGTACGAGTGCTTCCCGATGTATTTTTGGCGGGCGCATCTGGCCAAACGCGAGCCCTTGACAAAGACGTCTTCCGCCTTTCGGACGCAGTAGTCGCTAGTTAACCGTCGCGGCAATGTTCGTCCGGACGCTAGATCCTGCGGGAGTTTAGCGCACCTGATTAGCATGGAGAGACACGGCGCGCGACGAGGTAAAGCCGGAGTTGTCGGAAAATTTATTCGCGCGCTGACAAGTAGTAGCGGCTGTTTGAAAGTTTTCGGACTACTTTCGACACGTGAGGATCCTGGACGGAAGAAAGGAGTGCCAGGTTCAAGTAATTACTTCAAAACTCCTTGGCAAATTTTTACTTGGATCGAGTAACATTTATCCCGAGTACGAATTTACTGAGGAGCATTGGAGTAATTATTTACTCGAATCTAGCGCTTTTTTCTGTGTGATCATTTCGAAGAATATCATTAACATCGTGAGCAGACATTCGCGTGTGTAACATCGCGTCTCGTAAAACATTAGAAATCACAAGGAAAATGTTAATTTTTGTAGAAACAAAATTATGATGTCATACGTATCAATGTGATTAATTGAAGTTACATTATGCATGGAACAGAGAAAGAGAATAAAACGTGACAATCGTCGAACGCGTTGAATGCGAGAAATCTCGTTATATTAATTTCCGTTACTTGCGATGTTGTTCGTCGCGTTACTTAGGTGATTTGTCCCCATCTCATCGGACGACGGGCAAAATCAATGCTTCAGGATTTCCGGACGGAATTCGCGAGGCTTGCGTTAAACGCGACGGGCTCTGCAAAAGGAGCTCGCAATGGTGGCGCACGAGAGCGAGAATCGCGATGACGATACTGATCTGCGTGTTCGTCAGTGCGATGATCATTTACTGGTTTGTCAGTTCGATCATAGAGAATCGACGGGACAGTAGGCACAGAGGGTCGTCCGCTGGGAAATCTCGTAAAACGGCTTATCCCGAGAGACTGCCCGATCACGTTCTACCGCTGGAATACACGTAAGTATCGCGATTCACGCGAACCAACAGCACGGTCCATCTGTTACGTTGCGCAAACGGCGTGTGCGATTCTTCTCAATTCGACCTTCGTTCATTTCGGCGTCTCACAAAATGTGATCGTGCGAATTTAAAGATAGAACGGAGCGGAGTTGACAGATTATCCGGGAGAATTCACAGAGCCGTGAAATATAATAATTCTATCGTTGCGTCTCTCGTAGCGCGATTCAAGATAACACGGTCGTGTATTGAGCCAAGTGCGCGGTGTGTATTTACGCGACGACATAAGTTCAAAGCAGACAAGATTTCGGCTATAACGGTCATTCTGATGAAGTTCTGGGTAGGTTTAAAAGTTTTCGCGGAGCATGACGAGATATCACAAAAATAGAACAGACAGCAAGATCTCTGTTCGTCTCTTTCTCTCTGGAAAAAAATTGCGTTCCAGTTTGAAGATACTGCCCATACTGGAAGAGGGAAATTTCACGACCATCGGCGACGCGCAGATTCAATTCTATTCCAAGATCCCGACAAAGCACATACGTCTTCACGCTCACAATCTTCTCATACGTGATATCAGCGTGACAAAGTATCACGATCGGCCGTCGAACACGTCGAAATTGATGGATGGGTACGTCCAGCAGGACAAAGAAGATTTCATCGACGTGCTTCTGCTGCAAATGCTGATGGCGGGCGAGACTTACGTTTTACGCATCAAATACACGGTCCCGTTGCATCAGAAGCCGAAAGGGTTTTTCAGGAGTTCGCACGTCCATCGCGATACCAACGAAACCAGGTGACGACTTGACGCGAAGACGACGCACATCAGACGATCGTTATTAACTTTATCATTGTCGTTCCGTTTGTCGAAATTTCTTACATTCAATCCTGAGTATTATTCTTCTACCACACTTATTGTAATGGAATAGCAATCGAAAAGCATCGTTCTGCGGCTCAACGAGCGACCTGTCGTATCGTCGATCATTGAAATTGACTTAGGAGCGAATGTTTCCTTTCAGATGGATCGCGGTGTCAAACTTCTCGCCAGACTTCGCTCGCCGGGCTTACCCGTGTTTCGATGAACCGTGGATCAAGACACCTTTTCGCATCTCCATCGGCCGAAGATCGAACATGCGATCTCATTCCAACTCGATGCGCAAAGTCACCGAGGAAATGTAAAAAGAAGCTCGATACTTAGTCGTTCTAAAATTCCCGATTTATTGGCGGTGCCTTCTTTTTTTAGACGCGACTTGCCGGGCTACGTGTGGGATCATTACGAGAAAACTCTACCGATGCCCACTTACGTGGTCGCCTTTATGGTCACTGATTTCTTCAGCTACCACGTCAGCGTCGCCGATCGACCGTCGCACACGATCTTCTCCAGGAGGGAGGTCGCGAACGACACGAAATACATGGCCGACTTGGTGCCGAAGGTGCTCCGATTAATACAAAACTTCACCGGGTTCTACTACGAATTGGACAAGCTCGACGTGATCGTGGTCCCCAAGCTGATGTATTCCGCGATGGAGAACTGGGGTCTCATCTCGATTCGGTGAATACGCCGACTCCTTTCTCGACTATTTTCATCTGCCAAGTGCATCTTGCCTCTCGGGTTTTCCTCGGAAAGAGTTTAAAGTTGCAATTTTATCTCTTTTCCTAGAAAGTTTGTTGAGGAATTTTCAGACGACAATTTTAGATCGTATCTTTCATTGACATTTTCAGGGAGGACATAGCGGTCATAAAGGAAACTGGAGGTAGTGAGAACGCTAAAAATGTTCTCGCTAGTATCGCGGCGCACGAAGTCGCCCATCAGTGGTTCGGTAATCTAGTGACTCCAAGATGGTGGGACGACGTGTGGTTGAAAGAAGGACTCTCCTCATTTTTCGGATTTTTAGCGCTAAGCGTGGTAAAGTGAATGAAAGTCAGTTCCTTAAATCGCATTAGAGCCTTGTTCTTTTTTATCGAGAATAAATGTACGCACGCTATGAAAGTACAATCGTAAAGACATTCATCATTCGCAGTTGCTACTTTTGGATTATATGATTTTCCGCGTCTCACAACGTGGTTTTACAATGACCAACTAAACAACTAACTAGATCATAGTGATTAAATTATTGGATCGTTCGATAAGTCGGTGCGAACTTTTACGAGGAGTTCTGGTACTTTTACAGTTGGATGTCACTTTACTCAATAACGTTGGCCGGTTATCAAAGAAAATGAAAACAATTCAACCGACTATGAAGATATCGGCTTTGAATTTTGTCGTAAAAATCCGCACCATCGCACGATTTTGACCTGACTCGATCCTGCCGCAGCTAGAGCCGGCGTCTTGGGACCGGCAGGCCAGCTTCCTTACCGAATGCCACGACATATTTTACGAGGACGCCAGCGAAACGGCACACCCGTTGCATATTGATCTGCGAGAGCTGAGCGGGCTCATCGACGTCTTCGATTTGACGTCGTACGCCAAGGGTAATTGCATGGCGCACATGATCTATCATTTTCTGGGCGAGCGGATCTTCCTCGCGTCCGTGCGCCGCTACATGCGCACGTATTACTATCGCAGCGCCGATCAGGAGGATCTCTGGAGCGCCTTCCAGGTGGAGATCGACGGAGCGAGCGACGGGTTACCGGCTTCCTCCGGGCTGCGTATGAAGGACGTTATGCGAACTTGGACGTATCAGGCCGGCTTTCCTGTCCTGCGCGTCCGACAGAATCACGAAACCGGTGCGATCGAGCTTACGCAGGTGTGCGCGCTCTCTGCCCGATCGCTTATCGTCGGATCGATTTTCAAGCGCGTTTCTTCATCTTGTTCCTTCGGCGACAAATTATTTATTTTTGTGGAACGCGCGTGTTAATCATCGCTGGTGTAACCGAGAGAAAAGCAAAAGAAGGCTCCTCTCTCTCGGTGTGGTTTTTGCGGTCGCGAATAAATTACGCGCGATGTCCCTGGATCCTCTCAGTCACGGATCTTCCGATTACTCTGGAATCGATTTCTTTTCCTCTTAACTCTTCGAATTAATCCGTGAGACAAAAATTCATATATCTCTCTCTCTCTCTTTCTTTCTATCTGAGGATTTGATTAATGTGAACTTCGTGCGATGTTAAATACGGTATGAGACGCGTTCGTACTTATTTCACCGTCGAATCATCTCCAGTTTTGATATTACGAATTACAATGAAGAATACAAATTGCACGTGTCGGGTGAGCAAACACATTGCAATTTCATTTTCGCCGTTATACAGTAGACGGATAGAAGTAAAAAAAGTGTAAGCACGTGAAACGTCCGCGGCGGCGGACGTTGCTAAAAATTGCTCGATTATGCGATGTTTGTGTTTCAGGACCGATTTTATCATTATGGCCTAAATAGTACGAGCGAAGAGTTATGGCACATCCCGTTGACGTGGACCACCGAAAATGAACAGCAATTTGGTAATACCTTGCCGAAGGCATGGATGGTCAAGAAACGCATGAAAATTAACGACACTGCTCTGAGCCGGGCGAGTTTCAGCGACCAGTGGATTCTGTTCAATATCAATCAAACGGGTAATATCACTAACATCCGCCGATCAATTAAGGAGATAATATCCGAAGCAATATTTCTGCTGACAATAACTGGTGCCGGTCAATTTGGAGACAAAATCGTCAGCCACTTTGTAATTTTACAAGTTATACATACACTTTTCCCGCAAAGTACTCTCTGTCTCGAATTAATTATACGATTATTAATGACGTTCAAGTTGCGATGTCTCCTCTTTGTAAACTCGTGCGAAATATCTGATAGTTTACCTTCGTCGCATTCTCTCTCTCTCTCCCTCTGCAGCTCTGTATCGCGTCAACTACGATACGGAGAACTGGGAACTGTTGGTCAAATCCTTCGGAGCTCTGCCGGAAGTGGCAAAGGTGCAATTGCTGGCGGACTCGTTTGCAATAGCCAACGCCGGATTGCTCGATATGAAAGTCACGTGGAGCGTCCTCGAGAAGCTGGAGACGGAGAGCGGAGAGATGCTGTGGACGCATGCGATGCTCACGTTGGCCACTGTCAAGGATTATTTTTGGGATTCGGACGTGTTTAAGGTAACACCACTCAGAGCCGTGGTGTCTCTAAACAACAAAATAATCGCTGAGGGTTCTCACGTACTTTGCGGAATCGCTGGTGTAAAAACGTCCGATCACTCTCTCGCGCGAAACACACGTAGCGTGTCTCTCACGAGAGGAAGCGCGCGACCTCGACTCGGGAGAGCAGGAAGAAAAAAGAAATCCACAGAAATCGGTCCCTAAATTTCCGCGCAGCGTTCTCGCGAAATTCGCCCGCCCCACCTCGGTCGTAGATTTGCGTGAGATTGCGAGGCGAAGGCGAGCGCATTTGATTTTATTATTAATTTATACGGCCGCGCGGTGCGATAAGATATGCGAGATATAAGCGGCGCCGCCTCGCGGTCTAAATCGTTCGCTATGCAGTTCTGCCTTATGTCGTTATTACGTGCAGTTAAGGCTTAAGTATGGCATTATAAAGCGTATGATTATCCCTGGGACAGATATATAAGCGATCATCGGCCCATCGGCCGTCGTTACGATTCGACGTTCTCAATTAGGTCGGAGGACTCAATCATTATTTGCACCGAAATACGAGGCACGTAACATTTAATTAAGCACTCGCGCCGACCAATGTTGCCGTAACAGTTCCCTTTTCACAGAAGCCATTATTGCAAAAATATAAGAGAGGTAGGCCTGTGTGAGCCGCGCGCGAGTGGAGAGGCGGGCCCCACGGTTTCTCTCCCGGGCTTCTCGCCGCGTCCGTAAACCTAACGTGCCAAATTAAATAAATACGCCGCGGCGTATCTCCGCGTTTTAATCCACCCGGTTTATTGCTCGTAAATTCTGAATAAATAGAATTACTCTCTTGCTCCTTGCGCGCGAATCAACCGCGGATCTCCATAATGTTGCGATAAATATCGCCGCCTCTACCTTTCTCTCTCTTTCCTCGCAATTTCACCAGAACACTTTGATGTTTTTGCAAAAAGGAAAAGAAAAGGCAAAACGGAAGAGACCGAGGGGAGAAGGACACTCGGTTAGCCCGATAGACTTTTCCTCGCACGCGCATAGGTGAACAAAAGATTAAGACGGGAGAGAGGCAACGTTCGAAATTACGTCCTTTTGTCCGAATGTATAATTATTACGGATAGGAATTCAATTCGACTTTCGAATCTTCGAATTTCGCCGTTAAATGTCGAATGGTATTGTTCCTAATAATTCATGAATCGACACACACTTTTCCGTTTAATTAACGCGTCCGTCTACGCAGGGACTGAGGTTTTCCGAAGGCGAGTGAAAAACGAGATTCCATCGTCGTAGTGATCGTCGACTTCTTCCTTTTCTTCTTCCAGTTCGCGATCTGCAAGGTCACCGATCGGGTGTACGCCGAGACGATGCGGTCGCTAGTCCATACGGATCCTGCGTCGTGGACAGGATTCAAGGTGAACGTAATGAAATGGGCATGTTCGGTGGGCCATCGAGCATGCTTAATGACGGCCCGCAACTTCGGCCGAAAAATGCTGCGAAACGAGTCGTCGAGCTCGTCGTACGTAACGCCACACATTATTTGAGGGACACACACGCGAGTAGTCTAGGATTGTATTCGCGAAAATCAGCCGGCGAATTATAGCGTTCCAGAGGCATTCCGTACCTGGACGTACTGCGAGCACGTGAAAACGGTCACGGGGGAACAATGGCTGGCACTTCTCGAGAGATACAACGAATCGACGACGGCGCACGATAAGGAGAGCCTCGCCTTCGCATTGGGATGTCATGTTAACGCCAGTCTACTGCGAAGGTGAGAGATAACCCCGAACGACATCGCGCAAATTTCCCACACTGCGAGACGCGAATTAGATGAAACTTACTTTGTTACATAATAAACGCTTCCCAGTTACCTGTCTACGACATTTTCGCAACGGAATATCACAGGATCGCACGCGGAGGGAGCTCTGATGTCCACCGTGATAAATCCGCACGGGTGTCGCGTTGCGGCGGACTTTCTCACTGAACATTGGGACAGGTTCAACGCGAAGGAGGAGGAGAATAGCGCATAGTGAGTAAATTAGTAGTTCGCGACTGAGAACAAGCTGCTTACCGTCGGGGAAATTTATCGATGTATCGCTTCTTGTCCGTCTCACGACGTCACTCATCGCGCTTTCTCGTTGCCACATTTGCAGCGCAAACGTTATCCTGATCGGCACGTTGCGTGCCTTCGCGAGACGCATTCGTCAAGAGGAGGACGTGGAATGGGTAAGAAAATTGCGCGAAATTTAACGAGGATCGGAAAGCGAACGATAGAGTTCCACGAAAACCGATATGCATACTTACCTCGCGGCTACAAAGAAGCGCCGGATTATTATGTAATGCTCTTTCTCCCTTTCTTCCTCAGCTACGGCGGCTGAAAGGCAGACACGGGAAGTATGACACTGTGATCGGGCAGGTTATTAATAAGGTCCAGGCCAAAGTCGCGTGGTACAAGGAGCACAGGAACGAAGTAAGACCGCGCGAAACGTGTTTGACAGCGCGAATTATATTTGGTTCTCTCGTGACGATCATCCCTTCTTTCGTCGGTCAGTTTGGGAGATGCGATTTTTACGTGTATTCTTCCGCAGGCATTGCGAGCACTGGAAGAGATTTCCGCGAGATACGCCGAGACGAAGGATTGTAAAAAAGGATTGCAGGAAGGAAGATTAACGCCACCGCGTTAAAGATCTGTGCGAATCGAGGCTGCACGCGAGACCGGGATATAATCGTAATAATCGCGAGGCGATTACTTGACTCGCGCGGATTTTAACGACCCTTTTTCTCAGGACACAAGAAGCTAAATCTCGAAGTAAATCGCGCTGTCACGAGCGTCACGCTGTCGATGAGAATGTGCCTTTTACAGCATCGCTGAATAGAGGATATTTTTCTAGAAAACTCCGTACGAAATATTTTTCAGCTTTTTCCTAAGAACAGAATTAAAAAAGAGAAAAGGAAAGACTGAGGGAGCATTGAAATATATTGTAGAAAAGCGTCTGTTACACGCAGGGGATTAGAAGAGCTGTATCAGAGGCAAAATGCATTCGCTGCAACCACATTGTTCGCTGTAGCGCCTTAGTTGGAGTTCAACTAATAAATTTAGCTGCGGTAGCAACGATATTAGCTGTCCCTAATTTAGCTCCTATGGCTAATTCTTTCTGTGCGTATCAACAAAGAGTCATGCGAAGAAAGTTTCTCAGATCCGTCCCTCCCCATTCAGAGTTGTCGACCTCGAGTTAATACCATTCGAGGCAGAGCTATCAACGACTTATCGATACTGCGGCGCTCGGGGTATCAGGGCGTCGTCCAGCATCCCTAGGCACGGGGGAGCTGGAGTTGTTGCCGCGAGAGAAGTGCCGCGAGAACGCCGATCCCTAACCGGGCAATAACGAGCCCGGGCTTTCGTGTGGTCGGAGAATGTTGCTAAGTAAGGGATTGATTCACGGGCAGTTATAATACCGCCAAACCGAAGGCCCTAATAGATTCAGGTCAATGCCACTACCGTTCTTCGAAGTCGTTCATTATGTGGGAAGAGCGGGCCCCGTTCTCATGCCACACAGGTCGCCGGTAAGCTGTGTGTGCGGCGGGCTCCTCCGCGGCGGCGGCGGCGACGGCGGGAGGAATCGAAGAGGCCGAAGTCGAGATAGAAGGACCCACCGTGAGGAGGACTTCTATCCGCACGAATCCTTTTTCCTCCGCGTCCCGCGATCTCCTCTCGCTCTTCTTTTTGTTCGCACACACGTGCGTCGGCACGACCGGCCAATTTCTCGAGTTACAGATTCGTGAGTTCCGCGAATCTTTTTGTCGTTCTTACGTTAGATTCGAATTCGATCGCGACCGACGATCATCAATGGCGGCGGCTGTTTCGCGCGCGCGATTTGTTGTTTCGCTTCGGGAAAACGGTGCCGCTGATAGTTACATATGCGCGTTCTTTCTTTTTTTTACCGATTAAGGTAATAAAAGGCTGTCGAGGTAAGTCGATTGGCAACTTTCTCACGCGCGAATGGTTCGGGAAAGAACAACGTCTCACACGTCGAGCTGTGTGTGTTTTGACCGGCGTAGCCGCGCGCGCGCGCGCGCGTGCGAGTGGCGAGTTCAAGTTCATTTTTGAAGAATGTTTCTAGCTCAGGTCACGTAAGACGTTCGAATGCCGATCAAGAACGTGGATCGATGTGTAAACGACCGCTATTTTTGCTTATGCGAAATATAAAAAAGCGTGGTGAAACAATTTCCGTAGCGGAAATCCCCGTAGCGGCTGAGAGAAAACAACAGTCCCTTCCGCCACATCATCTCGCACGATATTGAAATAAACACATGAAAGAAGCCCCTGTACGTTGCAGCGAAATGTTCACGCGGGGTCTTTGTTGGCCCGATCGACGGCCGTGCCCGAAACGGTCAGAAGATTAAAGGAGGAACCCTCTTTCCCTCGAAGAAAGAGGGGTCAAAGAGCGCTACCGTGTCCCCAGACGTGTGCGACAGACGCGCAAAAGAAAGAAAGGAAGGAATAGGAAGGAAGCTCTCTCTTTGTCTCTCTCGGTTCGGCTCCCTCGCGCGCGCGTGTGCTCCTCGCGCGCGCGAGCCAGGACCCTTCCTGAAGTTAATGATTCGGTCATTGCGATGGGTGGCGGTGGCGAGAGTGGTGGAAACACGAAGTGGTGTGGGCCCGGCGTAGAGTAGGAGAAGAGTGCGCCAGGAGGGCGAGAGCAGGAGAAGAGGATCGCACAGGAAAGTAAGCCCGATCCCCAGTTCGAACGCTTCGGCTCGGTCTTACGGGTTTAGTCTTGAACGGCGGATTGTTACCGTTGACGGTCTCGAGAAGATCGGGAGCTGAGGGATCGTCGCACAGTCGTTATCAGCTGATAGCGAGCGGCCGCCATGCGCCGTCAGCCGTGTCACCTGTAGGATCCGCGCAACGTCACGACGAAGAAGAGGGTGTACGAGAGATTGACGGGGGGCAGAAGCGGTTCATACGAATTTTCACGTCCCGGGAGGCACGATGTCGCACACCGGTAATCCGACGTTGGCTATAACTACGAAGAGAAAACCACGGAGGCAGCAGCTACTACCGGCCACCCTCAGAAGTACGTATGGAGATGTACTACACGAGGTTGTAGGGGGTGGAGGACGGCTCGTGTGCAAAAGTGCACCGAATGAGCCAGGTTGGAAACATCTAATTAATTAGACTCGGACGTATTCATGATTGATTCGTCTCCGTTACGCTTCATTTTGCCGTGAGAAAGACTTGCGAGGCGAGACGTTTAAACTCAGCATTGTTCGGCGCGACTGACGTTTCTATTTATCGCTGAACGTTCAATTGCAATCGTGCCTGATCTCAACAAATGTCGTTGTGTAATTCCTGTACGTCTCGTTGGAACCTTGAATCGCGATTTAAATGGCCAAGTTTGTATCCTTGCGATTGAGATTTCTCCTTAATCGAGACGAAATACAGTTTATAGGTGATAAGCGATAGGAGACGGGGATAACGCGCGTAGGAAAGTTCGCTTAATTACGATATAAAATATCCCAAGGAGATAATACACCGCGAGAGAAATAAGTGATTTCGCGCATTCGCGTGAAAAAGCTAAAGTGGATTGACAAGAACCACTTACAGGCTCCGGTCTTGCCGAAGTACCGTTTTAACTCAAAGATTCTCGCCGGTATGCCTTCGGGATGTATACTCCTTCATTGCGGAAAGTCTAAAATTAACGACGATTCGAGTGCGCGTGTTCTATGCATGCGTGCCACGAGATATTTATCAAGGAGCAATTGTAAAAATACTTTATATTATATAAACAATACCTTACGTCTCAGATATAAGGCGTGACAGGCTTGAGCGTGAGGTGCGTCGCGACGAGTTTCTTTATCGTCAAGATCAGACCCTAGGAATAAGTCCGGCCGGCCTTAATCCGTAGCATCACTCGCACCGTTAGATAAGATCCCACAATCTTGCATTTTCCGCGATAACCCGATTGTTGTTGCTGCACAGTCGAGCGCGCGAGCAACGTGGCAATTTAATTTACGGCGGTGCGATAAGATTGCACCGCGATCTACATTCAGGCGAATGAGGCCCTCGATATTACGTTAGCTGACGTGCGGCCAGAGCGTGGTAATAAATTCTCAATGATACATTTTCTCTCGTCCTTTCTGTCGCACATAGTTCATCGTATTGTTCAAAGAGCGCTTCACGCTCGCGAGAGGAAAGAAAAATTCGCGCGCGCGCTCTCGCTTTCCTTGCCAGGGGATGTGTGACACTTTTTCGTCGAGTGCAAGCATTGAAATCACTGATAAACCAGGCTCATGGCCGCGAGGAGCCAAATGCATCGTCCGCTGCGATTATATATTTTGCCGCTCTCCTTCCTCCAGTTAAATTTGGAGTAATTATAAATTATGTGGTGATACAATCACTAAGTGGAAGAAACAAAGTAAACAAACAAGCAATTTAAAGTCAAACTTTAGGCGCACACTGCAAACGTAGACTAAATTTAATATAGTCACTAATTACACGAATCGTACGTTTCGGCACATTCTTTGGACCATTTTCGGTGTAACGTACGATTTATGTAATATTTATATAATATAATTAATGACTAACAAATTTAGTCTATGTTCATGATGTCCATCCGACATTCGGCATTTGACTGTAAATTGCCTGTTTGTTTACTTCATTTCTTCTTCTAGTGATTGTATATCAAGAGTTTTACATATTATTATAACACAATACCGTTATATATAATAAATATTATTCAATATTATGAACAATCGAGCGAGATCGTTCGCGTACTTCGCGTCCTCTCTCATTAGCGACACGCACACGCACACATAGGTGAAGATCGCGGGAAGTACGTCCGCTTTCTTGCATTCGCGGATCGATCGCGATCGTCGCCGTGCTCGCGATTCGCATCTCCGTCATATCATTCCGGTCTTCGCATTTACGTGAACGGCGAAAAAGCGGACGCGATTGCCTGCCTTCTTCGTCGACGAGCCCCAATCGGAATTCCGAGGAGGCGCGTGGGATCGGCACAGGTAGCAGCGGCGTGTCCCGCGATCGAGCGAGTGCGCGGCCACGTGAATCGTACTTTTGCTAAAACGGAGAAACAATCTCGGGCGGCGACGCGTCGCGAATAAAAAGGAGGAATTCCTAAGACGAGGTAAATGGCGCTCGGAGCTAAATTCAGCGGGTAGTGCGCTAACGACATACATACGTATCGCGTCGTGGGAGGTAACGCCGATAGAAAACGCGCACGAGAATAAAGAAATTGCTTTGCGGGTCACACCGGGGTACATATCGGCACATATAATTAAATAAAAATATTTGGGGACTCGTTCGATCGTTATATAGTTTTACGCGTGCGAAATTACGTATCGCCGTAGCGAAGGATGTTACTTTGAACGTGCAACTCGGAACACCTGGTACGTAAAGCGCTACGCGTTCGCGCGCATTATGAAATAAACGGGGAGGAGAAAAATGTGGCCGTCTACCTGGAGATGCTGGGCGCGGTAGAGTTAATAATACGATGTCACTTTTCGTGCAGAGTGGTGGCCGTGGTGGTTGCTGCTACCAGGATGTTTGGCATCGTGGACGCGATACGTCGAGGAGTACGACTCCATTAGAGTAGCCAGGTGCGACGCCCGATGCGGGGAGAACCATCCTGACGAGGTACGTAGGATGAGAACATGTTGTACGAGCGAGATTGTGTTATCTGCATCTTTATGTTGTCCCCTTATTGACGTATTCGTAACATCGTCGTTAATAGCATGATGATACGATATGCATATTTCGCCTTGAACAACGTCGCGACAATTTTCTACCGTTAGTTTAACACAAATTGCACAAGTTACACAGAAAATATGAAAGTTTGCTCTTGTGTAACCATATTCTCGCTACAAGTATTTCTTGAGAGAGACAAACGGTATTATTACAGGCCGGATTATTAGCCGTAAGAAATTGGCCAATCGATTGTTCCTCTCACATTTGACTGTGATTGATCAATTTCTTACGGTTCAAAGCTTACCACGCCTATCGCAGACCCGGTTTATCGCGCACTCTCGTTTGATTTCATTCTTATCAATCTCTCGCGGGATTTCTTACCGAAATTTCCCAAATTCTACTATCGCGAAGTCCAACACGATCGCTGCTCTCTCATTGCGTTTTCCAATTGTGTCCGTATTTCGGTAAACGATTCTCGAATTTACACACGAGCATTAGAGCGATATAAGAAGTTATTTAATAGGCATCGCGTAGAGGAAGAACCGAGAGCCCAAAGGATTAACGTTAGGGTAGAATATTCGCGTCGCACAAACAGCCATTATTCCCGACATAAGTTTGATCGTTCTTGGCGCTTGTGGCATCGACCCGCGCGCGTCGCAATCAGCCGGAATAATCGGCTCGATTAATCAGCGCGCTACATTGTACCGGGGCCCGAGTGGAGATCGATTTTAATTTCGATGGCCGATTCGACACTCGATAGCATCGCTAAATAAACTGGTTCCCGTAACGCTTTGTCGCCGAGTGTCGGTAGAGAGAGATAGAGGTAAGGATAAAAAGAGAGAGAGAGAGAGAGAGAGAGTCGCGATGATTCATCCGGGCTTGTCCGGGTTTTGCGGGTTCTCGCTCGCGTGTAATTAGTTATGCGAATCCGAGCGTCCCTGAGTCCGTGCCCACTTGAATCATCGTCACGCTCGACGATTTATGGGGATACACCGTGCCACGCCACGGTGGAGTTGACTCGAACGATACTAATTCGGCGATCAGCCTCGGCGGACCGATAACCGTATTTGGGTCGTCCGTCCGAAAAAGATTTGCCCTTTCGAAAAGCCGGATCAGATGGGAAAATTTGGATCGTTCGATGATCACGCCCCGTTCAGGCTATCGAGCGATCGCGATTTTTGCGTATCGTGAATGAAAATGCAAGCACGGGCAACGGGAGAGGTTAAACATTTTAATTGCCGTCGGCGGGACGATAACGTCACGACGAATACGAGCAACGACACCCATTGACTTACCAGTAACTTACCGGCGAGCCTGCCGCTTTATTGCTGATATTTTTTGCCGGCGTGTATACAAACGTCATTACGGCAAACGGCCCCGAAATGATTCCGGGGGGCCGTCGATGGGGTGAGGACGGGGGAGGACGAGAAGGAGGAATGACGAAGAGATAGCCCTCGAGCTCTGACTGGCGGCCGGCAATAAAGTCCCGAAGTAATGGCCTATAAAAGGGTTGCGCGGCAACACACTAAGTCCGGATGCGCGCCTATGGCGCACTAGAAACGTATCTTCCGACATTATCGAAAACAGGTTCTTATCCCGAAGCACCGACGATCAATCTTCCCGGTGGCATTCGACTGCAACGCGCGGCTCTCTCGCTCTTCGGGAACTCCGGCGGCGGCGAACTTCGCTCCTGACTTCTCTCTCGAAGGTGCCCTTTAGCACGCGAAATTAATTCTCTCTCTTTCTTCCTGGCGTTTCCGGCCGATTCTCCGCCGCCGGTTGATCGACAAGAAGAAGAAGCCCGCGACACTCCGCACGTCTTCCGTCGTTGAATCCTGCAATTTACGAGAAAATTATCAATAAGTTTGAACGCGAGAAGTTTCGATGCAACTTTCGACTTATAATGAGACTGCTCATTTCATCGTTGCCGCATTCCTGCCGATTAAAAAAGACAAGTCGCTCGTCGTCGAGACTTCACCTCGCGAGAAGAGAAACGCAAACGGAGGATCCTGATGAACAAACGAATGACGCTTTCACTCATTCGACTATATTATCGCGCGCTTCTCTCTCACCTCGCGATTAGCGTAAAATGCATCCGCGCGAAGCGTATCGTCATTCCAGTCGGAAGCCGATTTTTTTGCGCCTGCACTGGAATTTATCGCGTCGTATTTTCATCTTGCCGCGTGACCCGTTACGTAACCTCCCGCATTCTTTTAATAGCGTCCGTTGCTATTACATTTAACTGACGTAATCCTGTGCCCGCGGAACTTCGCTGAAAATGTTTCATCGGCGAAGCGTTAATAAGACGTCGCTTTTTTTTATTTCGCCCGTTGATCGTCTAGCTAGTAATAAAAAGAGAATCTTACGAGTGCGGAAGAGAGATATAGATAGGTAGATCGTTGCTTTTATTTTCGTTCTGCAGTACAGTCCTCTAAATCGTTACAATAGTATTTTATTGTTATGGCTAACAATTTTCTCCATTCTGCTGGAGAGATGGATATGTTTATTTTTACACCCTTAGGCTGATCCTTCTGCCACAGGAAGAAAATGCGGAGAGAATTACGTGGCGAATAGAATAAGTGAAAAATGAGAAGGAAAAAGAAAAATATACATAAGTAAAGATAAAAATAAAAAATAATAATGAAAGAATGAGAGAGAGAGAGAGAGAAAGAAACAATTAGCATTTATTTCGCAACCGTAATTAACTTCGTTAGCGTAATCCTCAAAGCGGAATTCCGCTGGCAACTTCGTTCGCTTCTGTTATAAAGATATAGGAAGCATCAGCGCGAAGGAAGAGCGGGAAGGGGGAAGAAATTTCGCGGTCACCGTTATTACAATTAACTTCGTTAGCGTTAATCGCGAAACTCCATTTTGGAAATAACGTTTAATGATCGAGCACGCGGATTCCTCGATATCAAAGCGGCGGCGGCGTCCTTTCGTACGTCGATGAAAAAGGATAAACCCCCGCCGTTACAACAATCGACTTCGTTAGCGCGATCGTTATATCGCGGGGAATTCTCAGCCGGGAACTCTGCGATCCCCCGAACGCGAGTTCCACGGTATCGATCACGCGCGGCGCCCTTTCGATTGTTAATTATCGGTGCCGTCGCGCGCGCGGGGGGGGAAAAAAATAAGTGAGAAGAAGAGGCGAAGTGCAAGGTAAGGGCGGAGGAGGAGGAGGAAGAAGAAGCGGAGAAGAAAACGACGCTGCTGAATCGCCAATGGGCAATATAATTTTCTTAACGACGGCGATCGGCCGGCCAATTCTCGCGATGAACTTCGATCGAAGGCCGCCTCGACCATACCGATCTTAATGAATACTTCAAACCGCGATCTTCACCAAGTCTTTAATTGGGGTAGCCCACCGATGCGAGAGATCGAGAGGGCGGGAGGGTGAGGGGCCCGCGGGGGAAGAAGGAGCAACGCTCGGCGCGCATGATTTTTCAGTATTGCCGATCGACACTATCGCCGATCTTCACGGCGGACTACATTAGTCTCCTGCCATACCCTAATCTTCGCGATCACTTCGGGACGGCCGCGCGCGCTCCGATCTTCGCGAAGAAGCTCTCGAGTGGAACAGATCGGCCTCCGCGCGCCTTCGGCGCGATCGACGGAGAGAAAGAGAGGATGAGAAGGAGCGAACGTGCGCGCGCGCGGAGTGGGAGAGGAGAGGCGAGATCTGGTGAACTTCATTAGCCTTCTTGTACACTTTGATCCGCGCGATCGCTTCCGATATCACTCGGCGATCTCCGCGCGCATCACAGCGAAGTTAATTCTTCGACCGTGACGACGCTTCATCGAAGCGCGCACCTTCGGTTTATTCTTTTCAACCCTGTGCGTTCCGGGGGCGATTATCATGCCCGCGTACCGTCGATCGCAAGAAACAAAAAAGAAAAGCCATGGAGGAAGTAACGTGTCAAAAATCGGAGAAAGTCGCGGCGGGATATCTTAATCTTTTCGCGGACATGTCGCGGTCTACATATATATAGACGTGTCAGAGGTCTGAATTTTTTGCCACTTCTTTTTGCATCTTGCAAATATCTTTCTCTTGCGAGTTCGAACTATTATTATCGTTTATGAAGGAGAGAGAGAGAGAGAGAGAGAGAGACTGAATAACGCGGCATTCCTTGTAATATCCGCTGTCCAGTTTCGTAACAATACCGACGGTATTTATTGCGTAGCGGCCTGCATAATAGCGCTCTTTCTCCATTGCTCTCTGTATTATCTGATATCGTCGAGTCGAACAGGCGTTACTTCTCGTTGGAGAATGGAATTGCGGCCAATGACGAATACGATTTTTGAGCCTTACAGCGCGATCTGTCCTCCCACGCGACAATATCCTCTCGGGAGAATTGCTTGTTATTTCTTACGCGTTGTCCTTGCGCATAATCCATTCTTTTCATTTCTGATCATGTGGAATGTTTCTTCATTTTTCCCCGATATGCGAGATTTCTGAAATAGAATTTATTCTTTTTTATAAAATTGAAAAATGAAATTCCGAAATAGATATTTCTATCGGCCTGCGAGTTAGGCGCATTTTTCGAAATCGCTCGATGATGGCGATAAATTCTATAGAGGCACCAAGACACTGAATTGTGTGATATTCCCGCTTGACTCGCAACAAATCTCAACTGACAACGGAACGCGGAAGCCAATCTACCGATCGCTGTGGCGTGCTTCGGTATTTTTACGAAAAGCGTAATCGCGAGGAAGAGGGAGAGATAGCACGTTGCTTACACATCGACAATATACGCGTCGTACATAATTGTATCTTATATACAAGTGTTATATTGTGGCTCGTGTTATAAGTAACTTTCGCGGAAGATGGCCAATACTCATTTTTTTCCGAGACATTGGTGCAGAAAGTCGATGAGCCGCTTATTAATTAGCAACTCCGCGCGATTATCAATAACGACGAATACACGTTAGATTGGACAAATATGAAAAAAGGAAATAGTTATTTCACAGAAGCATATAGGATGGTGGAAACGAAAAGTCGCTTCCGAGATTTCAAGATTTCATGATCCCTCGCGATAAATCGGCCAACTTCACCGGTCCGAGCATATTATCGAATGATTCGAACGATAGAAAGATTCAACGATGTAGAAGTTAAAATTGTCCTCGGCCCGGTCGGAAGTGTTTATTCAGATCAACTTCAGCATCGCGATTCCGAATGCGCCGGTTCGTTCCGTACAGCGATCCCCGGGTGCTCCTCTTCGTCGGGAGGCAGCGCCGAGGGAATCCCCGAGAACGGGGGCAGGTAAGTGTAATAGAAGGGTAACTTGATACGTATGATTTCGCTAACAATGTCGAGCGCAGCGCGCTACCGGCAATGCCGGAGATCTCTCGTTCTTCTTCGTCCTCGCGATGAACTTTATCAGCTGGTCAACGGCCCCGGGCGATCACTCGCCTTGCGCTCGGGTCAGCTCCGCTCCGTACGAAGCATGTTCGCTTCCCTCCGTAAAAAGTAGGCCAATAAGTAAGCGAACCAGTTTCCCCGACCGTTCGAATGATATATGTCGCGAGACAGCGAGTACACGTTGCCGGCGTAGGAATGCTCCTGGAGACCTTCTCCGGGCGAAAGATCGTCACTTCGCAAATCGGCCCTCCAAGTGAGACCCGTCGGGCTCGGCTGCGCCCTCGCGAGAACGTCGACGATCCTGCGATTTCCGGCGAGCCTTCGGACGAGAGACTCGAAGGAATCGTGTGCTCGCGTAGGTGAATATAAAGTGGCATGGAGGTGAAAAGTCGATCGAGTTCTCTTGCCCTCCACATGTCCACGATTTGCGGGTAAAATCCCTAATTATACGGCAGAGATGGAAGTGACTTCGGTGTCATTGATTTTTGTTCCCGCACTCCAACAACTACATTATATCTTCTTCCGAGATGTAACGGAGTGATCATCTTGCGCGCCCTGTACACACACTCGACGGCCGTCAAACAGGTTGATATTCGTGATACTCATTCTCCTCGTCACGCATGTTCAAATGCCGGGTGTATAATTAATCCTCAAAGTATCAGCTCGCGCATCGTGTCATTGACAACGCGTCGAGTGTTTAATGCGCTTAGAGCGTACATCGTTCAAATTATTCATTTTGTTTGTGTGTGTGAGTTATACTTTATAAATCCACTTCGTACATAAAGGAGAAGAGGAGCGCGATTGTAACGCGTCGATCAACGTCCGATATGGATCTACCGCGAACAAAGTAGAGCGCGTTACGTTTTGATCGTAGACGACGATCTGGCGATTTCTCTTCTCCTCGAAAGCGCGCCCGACGTATTTTTTTTTCTCCTTTCCCCGTAACGCGCGATAAGATCTCACAAATTTTGCGATGTATCTATTATGAAGTTCGCCAGCTATAAAAGACACAATTATGAAATTCGATACGGCGCATTTATGCGCGTTTAAACGAGACTTCCCGAAAACTCTCCTCGAATCGAGTTATTAAACTTAATAACTCGATATACGACTTAATATCCCGATATTTCGCAAAACGCCGCATTATGTTTGTAATCATGCGTCCCACAGTGCGGTCGGGGCTTATTTTGCATGTTGCTTTTTTTTCCATCGATTTCGGTCAGGCTGGTTCTCTCTCTCTCTTCCTTACGCGCGTCTACATTGTGCGTAAATGACGGTCGGATAAAAACACGGTAGCGCGAGCCAACTCGAACGCGGCATTAAGTCGAAATATATAATATATGGAGGTTGCATTTTTTTCGTCCTGACGATCGGTCGATTCCGCCTCGGGGTCCGTTTAAAGGATCCGAACTCGCATTTCGCATCCGTACAGAATCGATGAGCGACAGTTTCGTAACTATGTAGCGAGGACTGGCTTCCACGAAAATGGCAGGGAAGCTCTCTTTTCTTCTCTTTCTATCTCTCTCTTCCTCTCTTTGAATCGAGGCAGAGCTCGATATCGGTGTGTGGCGGTTTTATCGAGTTTTTATTTCTCCTTTTCGCGTGATCGGAGCCGTACCTTTTTTCGGCACCAACGCGACGGATCGGGATCGACGATTAAGATGGAATGCGACGAAGTTCGAGTCGATCTCGAGGGAAACTGTCGCCCGTTGATAAAGGCGACTCCACGGCGAACGGCCGCTGATTAAATAAGCGTTGCTAATTAAATACCTGACTAAGTCCGCGTCGCTTTCGCCGCGATTTCCGGATCGAATGGATCCCACACGTAGATCTGATTTAATCGTCGTGCTGCAGTGCGTGGAGAATTGTCTGGCATCGAATTACACGAAACCCGGATATTGCCCCGAGAGAACGTTTATGACGCCCTTCGAAGCCGCCTGCTTGGTCGCCTGCGTCGACGATTCCCGTTGTCCGGATTTGGCCAAATGTTGCACCCATGATTGCGGCGTCACGTGCATGCACCCCATCGGTTTGGACACTCAAAACGGTGAGTGCACGGTGGATTCTATCATGATTTGACTACCCTTCTTCCGAAGAGTGAACTCCCTAATGGGTGTTTTACTACAATCATTTCAAGTCAGTTGGTAAACTTCATCGCACTTTTCTCATGTACAAATAAACAGAGGAAAAAGATTTCATGTTATTATTTACTTCTTTTATCTATTCTTTTATACACTAATTCGATGAAAAATGAACAGAATAGAACAACTGGAGTCGCGTCCAACTTTACCATTAGAGGATTAATTACTTGCTCTTCGATGATTCCCCGTGTAAATCAGACCTGCCAGTCGTGCCGGAGAACCTGCGGATACGCCAGCAGAAGAGCAACCTGGTGCTTCTGTCTTGGCGCAGCGGCAAGTCGGCCGCCAGCAACGCGTCTTCCTCCGCCGATGATGACGACGACGACGAAGACGAGGTCCGGTACTTGGTGGAGGAGCGTCACTTGGTCGGGCCCAGGTATCTGGAATCCAGACTGAGCTCTTGGACGGTGTGCCACGTGTCGACGAAGCCGCACGCGACCCTCCGTGGCCGGCTGAAGACTGGACACTGGTATCAGTTTCGCGTAGCGGCCGTCAACGGAAACGGTTCGCGCGGGTACTCGCAACCCTCCAGACCCTTCAAGACAAAAGGTGAACGCGGAACGTAAAAGGCACTCTAATTTGTCGCACGTTATCATCGTTAGGATTGACACACAGTGCCAATTTTCCTCTCTCTTGCCCGCTATTTCTGTTTCTTCAAATTGACCCGGGTTCACGATATATAACTCAAGGATGTTGCGTAAAGTGGGACACAACGCACAGCACAGAAAACCGTTCGCGTTTTGAGGACCTTTTGTTTCTTGACTCGCGAAGTCGGGTCATTAACCCGCGGTGAAAAGTGTCGAGGTCGTTTTAACCGATTCGCGCGCAAAGTATTGCTTAATATTGACCTCCGCCGGCCGCAAATTAAGCTTCGCGAACTGAAGGCCGATAGCTAACGCGAGAGCAAACACGTGCGGACCGTCGAAGAGCCGCGCGCGGTGCGATTCCGCCAAGGCGATGAGCGTAACCCGCGGACATTAGCTTAATTAGCGCTATAATCATAGCGGCAACGATAAATCATTTTCGTCACTAACGCTAACTCAGACGAGACGCGCTTTCGCATAAATTTTCCGGTCGCATCGGTTCGATCGAGCGAAGAAGAAGAAGAAGCGACAATTAGTGGCACGACGAACGGGCCGTGCGTCAATAGATCGTGCAAAACCGGATTATAAGCGTTCCAGTCGCTTCTAAGTAGGTAAAGAATCGGCTGGCAGCCGCATCCGTGCGATTATCGCTTCGGTCGGTCGATTTATTACGATCTCACGTGTCTCGCTGACTTCTCGATCCACCGGACTTCTTCATTTAATTACGCAGGCTCGCGGGTGACAGTTGGTAAATATATAATTAACGGCGATTTATCGCAAAAAGTGACTTACCGCTTTCGCTCGCAAGTTTCGTTGCAACGACGTGTAGGAGAAGAAGGAAAATAGGATATTGTTACATGACGATGTTCACGTCCGATCCGTTGTAGAGCCGCGAAATCCGAAGGAGCCGCAAAATCTGACGTTATCAAACGCGCGCCTCGTCGGCGGCAAGCTGCGCATCAATCTGCGATGGGTCAGACCAACGTCAGATATACCGATATCGTTCTACAAAGTGTTCTGGAGCAGGCTCATTCACGGCCCGACTAACGACTCCATCCTTGTCTACCACAAAACGGTCCTGAAAGTGAGTGGGTTCGTCAGTAAATTATCCTCATTGTTAGTCAAGTAAAGAAGAAAGAAGGCGAAGGATCTTTCCACTCGTGAAAAAGGGAAGCATATCTCTGCAGCAAGTGATTTTTCTCCGTGAGGACTTTCGCTTCGCCTTTTCCAGGACAAGACGTGCTACGAGCTGAAGAATCTGGAGCTGAAGTGCCAGTACTTCCTGCAGGTGCAGGCGGTGGCTGTGTACGGCGGCCGGCGCTTGGCGTCGCGCAAGGCCTCCAAGGTGTTCAACAGCACCGACTACATGGCATACGGTAAGCTCGATCACACTGACGAAACTCGTCCGCGGCGATAACTCATCCACGCTCCTCCCCTCGGTCGTCCCCCGTTCTTCCAAGTCCAGTAGTAGTCGGGACAATCAACGAAAGAAGTGACCTTTCATTGAAGCCGACGTCGGGAGACGTTCTCGCAGGTGCGAGCGAACCCAGGCCGGCCTCCACGTGCGTCGCATGAGCTGCCACTGCGGCGACGTCAAGGTGCGTCTGGTCTGGCCAGTGAGCGGCGACGCCAAGATGTACAACGTCACGTGGCGGGAGGAGTCTTGTTCGCGCGAGAAAAACCCGGAACACCGACGGAAAGCCGTCGTCTGGCAGGTGGTCCAGGTACGTTGTCGCGCGGACAGGGCTGTAACCACTAGTCGTACGATTGATTGATTTCAGACCTCGCACTACGACCTGCAGCAACTGCGAAACGATTGCACGTACAGCGCGAACGTGCGCAACGTACCGAAGGAGAACGGCAGCGACGACCATGGGGCTAGTATAGAATTCTTCGCGACCGGATGTCAGGACGATCAAAAGCGGCAGAAGCGACGGAAGAGCGCGCGATGTAAGACGAAACCGTCCAGATCCAGACGGTACTTTGCCGATCTATTTGTGATATGAACTCGTTGGCGACCACCGAATGGATTGTGAGTCGCGACGGTGATGTTCGCGATCTACCCGGTAATATCCATCGCTCGCGAATATCGTCCCAGGGATATGTATTTCATTTATGCCTTGATGAGGGGTATAGTCGAGGTTAAAATCATTTCTCGAGGAAAGGAAGGGTGTTCCTGCGATTTTCCGACCGCTTGAAAAATTTGCTTCCCCGAATGAATTTTGGTACGTGAGCTTCGTTCGCGGTGAATGGCCGAGACTGAGTTGAGCATAATGTAAGTTTTCTACACACGAATCATTTTTCTATATAAAGGAGAAGTAATCAGAAGAAAATAATTAGACTTTATCTATACTTTATAGTAAGAAAAGGGTGTAAAATCGTTGAATCACATGTTGATTGTTGATGTTTTATTCGACTAAAAAATCACTCGTGATGTTATGATTTGTGTCGCAATTGCATTTTCTTTTCAGCTTTCGTTCCGTTCAAATAAGATATTCTTATTTTCCCAAGAATCGTGTACAAATTTTTACTTCGAATAAAATGTAGATGTAAGTTTCTGTCTGGAAGGTCGTCTGCGAATTCATCAATTATGATTTTTACTTTGCAAGAAAGAAACCAAGGTAGCTACCGTTGCTTTATTTAAAATGTCTGCGATTTCAGGTAGCACATGTTACTTTCATATATGTTTTTTATAAACGTATGTAACGCTTCACAATCATATTGTATACGTTTAAAGAACGTATGAAACTAACTATGCTACCTGTTTCACGTCACTTTACTTTCACTTCATCTTTAAAAACAGAAGCGCAACCGAGTACACTTGATTCGAAACCTAGAAAATCATCCGTGTAAATTAATTATTATTACAACATTTTCTATTTTTATCGCGAGTGATATTGTGTACAATATGTACAATATATTTACGACAGTATATAAAGAAAGAAGAATGATACGCGCATATTGAATGGATAATATAAGTCCGTACGTGGTACCGTATTTCTCATCTATGGAAATTATGGACGTAGCACGGACACGCGCCAAATGAAAACATTATCGGCAGTGTCAGAAAGTGCATGCAGCGAAATAGTTCCAACGTAAAAGTGGATGCAGATGGCGTATCAAACAGTCACGTAAAACGATATTGAAGAAAACGCCGGCGTAGCCGCTTTTAGGTTTCTCTTTGTTTATAATCTACGTATATGCCTAGGTTGCTTCGAAAGTGCTTTCCAAAATGGCATTAAGCGTCATGTTAAAATTGTTGATAAGTTCTCTTAATTTCATATGTTTAATAACACCTTGCCTTTCGATGCGCCAAAAAATATTCATCCGTTCAGCCGTGAAACGTGTTCAAAGCCGTTAACGTTTTCGGAAAAGAAAACATGAATTTGTTGAACACGAGAAAATTCCCGCGCGTTCAAAGCCGTTAACGTTTTCGGAAAAGAAAACATGAATTTGTTGAACACGAGAAAATTCCCGCGCGATGATTTTTCACGACTTTAAGAAGTCGCCAACTCCATTACAATGCGTCGAAAGTCTTTGTTCGGTTTTTGCGCTATGAAGTATCATTCCAAAGGACTGTTTACAAGTAGTATATGAACTTCAAACGCGGTCGAATAAAGCGCGTAAATTTGGCCCCTTTTTACCTGATTTATCACTAACGACGCAGCAACACGCACTAAAAAAATGATCCTATAATTCTTTTATTTCGATAATTATTGTTGCAAACATCAAATATTCGTCCCTTGGCGCGGATGGGTGGATCGGAAGAAAAATTCGTACGCAGATAATCGCATAATTTATATTTGTATATACAGTCACTTTACAACGCGCACTTGTTATACACAGTATAGCTCGATTACTTTAGGTCAGCGAACGCCAAGTGATCTCGGTAAAGACGATATCAAAGTAAAAAAAACTAATTAAGAGGGGGCGCGCCCTGTGTATGCCGCGTGTATCTCTCGCACGAAGAAGATGGGCGACGACGACGACGCTGAAGGGATTATTTTAATGTCCGTCCACCAAGCGGGAAGCTTCGACAAAAAGCCTCTTCTTCGCAACATCATGCGGGACAGACAGACAGACCGAAGCCCACCGCGTGTATTCCTCGCCGCCGCATTTAAACGGGCCGCGCTCGAAATCTTTCGCGCGCCTCACCGAATTTCCGCGAGTATTGTGTATCATCCAACCGATATACGACACTTCCGGGGAATTCGGAACGTTGTCGACGAGTATGACACGTGTCGAATCAACAGGCCTGTTCTTTCCAGCTGCACCAATATCCTAGATAGAATGGAAAACCACAATGACGTCGAAAAATGATGAGGAAATGACCATAACTCATTTTTCCATCATGTTTCGCGTCATTTTGACGTTATCGTGATTTCCTGTTCTACCTGGGACCGAAACTTCATTCCTTTTCCCATCGATTGTATATCTGTTTCACTCTAAAGGTAAAAGATACGGCCTGGCTCAACTGAGAAGAGCAAACCTGATAAGCATGAAACTTCGTCGGCAGCCCGGCGATTTCGAGTTCAGTTACTGCGCGAGGAAACTGTGCGACGGGCCGAAACTTTGAGAAACGCGTTTCAAAAGGCAGCAAGGTCCATACAGCAATCGATGACGCGTGAAAAATCTCGCTCGTCAAGGCGCACGTACGCTCCTTCCGAGAAGAAACATCGATCGTAGGATCTCTATTATTGGCAGTAGCGTTAGTCGTACATTGCGACGGAAGCCAACGTCTCCTTTCCACCCTCGTTCTCGCTTGCGTTCTCCAGCGACTCGCTCGAAGCGATTTCGAGCGATTTCGCGCTCGTCGAAACGATGAACTTCTCCGACACGGTCGCGAGCGTTTCTCGTTATGCGCGAACTCGTCGTACGCGTACAATCGAACGATTGAAGTCCGCAAGCACCTTCGCCTCGATGAATTTCGCGACGCATCCCATGTCCGATAGAAGTTTTATTTTAGTAATTCTCGAAAGATATGTTTTCCTATATATATGGGATACTTTGAGAAATCCTTCGTGATAAAAGTATTGCAGCCTTCGATCATCTGATTATTTATGCTTAAATTAAAGGGAAACTGAAGGGGTTTGAAAAGTAGAGTAAAGGCATATAATATGAGGTATAAGTACTCTCTACATGTCTTGAAGTAAAATCTCACTTAAGGAAGTTGTAAGATGAAATGAATTTGATAAGAAGTCAATAAAACTTGTACTATGTATACTTTGAAATATTGCCTAATTGCTCGTGCAATTAGAAAAAGACCGACCATTCGAAAGCTGAGAGATATTTGTAGGTAAAATTGATATTTTTTATGTATGTTCCTTGATGTTAGTGTTATTTTTTTTAGATTTTTAAAATTCTATTTTCAATATCTTCTAAACTAAAAATAAGATTTTGATGAAAGATTACTATCACATTATTATAAACAAATTTCAGAATTATTGACCATTTGTTTTGAAAATACAGTGATATAAAGTTCATAATTTAAGTTATATTCAAAATAGATATACACATATGCATATATGCATATTTAAACTTATATATGTTTCTTTCTATTTTATCTATGTATCTTTATTAGAATAACCGATGCATAAATATACTGTTAATAAAAAAAAAATAATAATATTTTCGTATTTATAATACTGTGTACATATATAATTTAATATTTATCAAGCAACGTTTATCAAGTTACGCTTTTATATATTTATCTCATTATATACATAATAAATGTTAATTTGAAACGAAGTTGAAGTGTATATACGTATGTATATATATGCACTTCACTCACAGATTCACTCATTTCACTCACAGATTCGAGTGAGATTCTACTCGAAGAAATTTAGAAAGTAAAAGGTAGAGATATTTTCTCTCTGTCTCTCGGAAAGGTGAGACAAAATAAGGAAAATATAATAAGAGAGAAATATACGACTAATCAAAATAAAACGACGTAATAATTTATATAAATATTTTTAGTTCTAGACGCTTTTAATTCGCGAAACGATACGCACGATCGAGTCTCGAGGAGCGCAAATATACTTTCTCGTCGTCCTTTCACTTCCTGTCACCTCCGTTTCCGGATAAACGATGTGATAGAACAAAGTTCGTTCCACAAAATCGTTTCTTCTTTTTCCTCACTTTCATTCTCACACATATTTTCTTTTTCAGTGTCGGTCTCTCTTGTTCTCATTCGTGGGGGCACGTTACGTGGTCACAAAGTGCATTTGTCGATATGTCAACCATAAGATAAAACACGGGGGAGAGTAAAAGACCTTCCAAAAGACAAAAACTCGCGTGTCGAAAAAGGGGAAGGATATGTGTGTGTGTGTGTGTGTGTGTGTGTGCGGAGATTGCGCGCGATTGATATTCGCGTTTGCTCGCGGATATGGCTTTCTTGGACTGCGATCGCGATCGGTCCGATATGTCGATGGATTTTGTCGATCGCAAATAGCTGCGAATCGGCGGTAAGTGCCGTGGGGATGTCGATACGTGCACAAATCAATGAGGCTTGATTCACACTATCAGGGACGGATTAGTAGATATTGGAACGAGATGTTGAGAGAGATACTTTGGGCAGGCTACTTTCGTGCTCAACACAATTACACGGGGAAAGTAATCTTATCGCAATTTCACGCGATCCTATGCTATTACTTCTCTATTATTATTCTATTATCTTCAATTATATAACTAATTCTATTCTCGGGTCAAACATCAACGCATCAGCCAGTTCGCTTCGCGCAATTGTGTTGTTCGGCATGTGACACAATCAGAACGATTTGCGTCTTTATTTTACTTCTCGCGGCATCGTGTTACGTACGGATATAATTTCACAGACGCATGTTTTAGCGTATACGTTAGACAGGACGATTCTTAAAAGCTCATTAATTGAAATCGAAAGTCCTAATATGAAGAAAGAAACACAAAGAAAGAACCGATAACTCATAAATTCGCGACGAAGCTCGTTTCTTTCTCTCTCTGTTCGAACGAGTCGTTGCTGTTCTGACAGATGTTCCAGCGCACTGCTCGAGTCGCGGGAGACCCGAGATCGGAATGAAATATGCATCTCTGCTTGGTAACCGCGAATAACGACGGTGAAATTTCCTGAAACGTCAATGTGTGAGCCCATAGTTGAATCAAGCCTTTCATACATTGTCCCCGGATAGATATTCGTAACGAACAATTAACGACGAAGATCGATCGATCGATCGTCTCGTGCTCCTCTTCCTTACGGGAGCGAGCGGTCGTTGTCTCCATTATTCTGTATAACTATTGTAAACATTTGTCAACAATCATCAAGTACGTCGCGATTTTGTGGAAAAATTGGTGTGGGCTTAAACGTGCGTTTTTTAAACCGAGTTACAGTGAGTAATTAGTCCGGCTGTCAACGGCGCTATCTCGTTTCCGAGGATTCTCGCTTCCGCTTGAGCGATAAACGTTTATTTCGCACTTTTTTCTTTTTTCTAATCTTCTTTTTCTAAGATGATATCGCGCAATTCTCTCGGTTTCTTTTCGAATAACGCGATATTACACGCGCGACACATCGATTTCCCCGACTCGCTGCGCGTCCGATCGTCGCATTTCCGTTTTCATCATGTTCCCTCGGCCTCCACAACGCTGGAAGTCGTGCAATCGGCGTCATATACGCTGTACCATTTCCTAGATCGAAAATTACACAATTTTCAGCCAAACAGGCTGAAATATACAATAATTTACAGTTTAGGTAACCGGTTAGTTAATGCTCTGCGTTAGCATTTGGAACGGAAAATATCGGTTCCTCCAACTGAAAGCATTTGTTGGTGTAAAAATGTCGACGCCTCAGTTAGTATAGAAAAACGTCACGTTACTGTAACTGAAACTCCACTAAATGAATATCTTCGGTTGCTACAACCGAGTCAGTTTTTTCCGCGTAGTACGACATGTACGCCGACTGACGACCGGTCGATTCTCTACAAACGCGCACCGATCGTCCTGTTAAATTCGCGACGTGTGTTCCCTCGCTTTCATTTACGGCTCGTTTCTCTCCTCGGGTTGCGGTGCGATGTTGGCAACCGTGAGTAATAATGTTACGACGCTCTCGCAGCGGTCGCGACTGTAACTGGCAACTAAAGTGGATTACAGTATATCTCGTGGTAGAAAACAGCGAAATTCGACGGTGTCTCTCAACGTCACGCGTTATCAAGAGCTTTTCCGGTGCAGTGGAAATGCGCGTCGCTTGGACGTGCCGGCTGCCGCTGTGTTTCTCTCTCTCTTTCTCTCTTGCTCTCGATGGAGGCCCTTTGCGATCTTATTTCCGATATTTACGTGACCGGAAGGAAGCGTTTCCGCTGTTCGTGTTGCCGACTGTAATCACGTAAACATCCACCGAGCGTTTCCAACCCTCATCCCGGCCGCGCTTCGAATTCAACTTCCTTCGCCGGTCTGCCGTTTTCCTGTCGCGTTTCGCTTCGAGAATCGCCGTATTCCGTCGCGATACGCAACCGCGTTTTCGCGACATTTGCGCAGGCGAAATGACAGAAAGAGGAGTCGATGCTTGACGAAACCGTCTCGAGGGTGTATCGTTTTTACCGTGGATTCTCGATGCGACGCGAAAAACAACGGCGTATTCTTTCTTTTACACGTATTCTTCGTTGGACCGACGGACACTTATTGTACAATGTATTCTTTATGTGCGCATACGTCATACTTAGGTGTAACGTGTGTGTTACGCGTCGTAGTGCAATTATAATACATAACATAATAGCTGTGTGACGACGTTTAACGATAACGGTATTCTGTCATTCTCTCTTTAAATTCCTTCGAATAAAATTTCACTCTAAAAGCACAGTGGCCAGCGAGTCATTCGAATTCGAGTGATTTTTCACCTTATACAGTGAATTCTCCATTCTGAATTGTCGAGTGAACAATTTCACTCGAAATCGAAGAGTGAATCCGATGTGTTGCACCGTCACAGGGACATATTTACCCTGATTGATCGAAACATTCGCTCGTATAGTCAAAATTTACTCTAAGCTTGAAAAGAAATTTGAAAATTGAAAAAAAACCAAGTGAGAATATATATAAGAAATCCACATGGAATTCCATGATTGTCCCTGGAGATTAGCGGCAAAAATCCAGGTCCTAGGTAGGAACCCATTTGGATTCTTACATGAATTTTCACAAAGCATGATGGATTCCTATATGGATTTTTATTATCCTATATAGATTCATACGAATTCCTATGGAGTTCCGTGGGAATCACCTGGGAAATTTTCAATAGGGGAGCGGAACGCATTCACTCTTGTGATTTCGAGCGGCGGTCTTTTCATTATCGCTTCGACTGAAAATCCTGCCTTTGTCATTCGTTTTGTGTGAGATTCCACTTCAGGAGATTTGGAGCGATAAAAATTACATTACGGAATATACACACGGGACGGGGATGGAAACGCTTGACAAAGTCCCGAAATGATCAACAACAGTTGCGCACGAGGTAATGATGAATTCACGATTGAACAATAACTTAGGCGTTTAACTATCTTTCCGTCCGAGGGGAAGAACACGTTCACATTCTCGACGTATGTATCACGTACGTGTGTGTGTGTACGTGTATATGTGTGTTGTGTTGTATATGTGTATATATATATTTATATTTATATTCATATTTATACGTGTGCATATAATGCGCTCTGTCGAGTCGCGCGAAAAATAAATCGATGCGCACGCGAGCATCGTTCGAAGGCTAATCCGTGAAGTGTTTTACAATAATTAGGTCATTACGATGATCCTTAGGTCCGGTGGTACATTCTAAAACGATAATTTAATTCGTCATTATTTAGCGGCGCCATGAGAGACTATTTACAGGTCATTCGCGCGCGAACTCTTTCATACATGTCAGATGTATATATATACATCACGCATACACACATACATGTCTTCTCGCGTCGCTCATGCACACGCCTTGTCGTTGTGCATCCAATTACGCTATTGCAAGCGGTATGTCTAACTTCTTGAGACCGGCTGGTCGCACCGGCCGACAAGGTGTTTTCGAAGAGTTGCACGCAAGAATCGAGTCTGAGAACAACAGGTACTCGCACGCACACTCATGGTCGCGCATCGTTCGACGATGTCTGACTCGGGATTTCTCAGCTACCGCTACTGAGAGGGCTGGTCATCCGGAAATAATCTCTGACCGGGAGGCAACAATGACTTGGGTCACTATGCGACTAGGAAGGCCCACTGTGAAACCCCGCATCATCGCGGTTTCGCGTCCTAACGACAAGATCGTAAGAAAGTAACGATTGTTTCCGGTTGACTCCTGCTTTCTGCACGATCTCGGCGCGCAGACATCAGCGCCCCGTGCGGACTCTTCATTCTATTATAATGGATTCTGCCGTAACACAAGCGTGCACAGGCGTAACTTTCGAAAGTGGTCCATTCGCGTTCAAACCCGACTATCGGCGTGTAAAAAGGTCGTCGATCAGTGCCCGATCTTACTAACGTCGATTAAACCTTAACTGTAATCTAAGTGCTTTTGTCTGAAGAGAGTTTAAATTCAAGTTCAAGTTTGATCAACGTTGGTGAAATCGTACGTAAGCCCGTTAGAATGAGAGGTGTTCTCCGTGTTCCCTTAATTTAAACATTCGCCGGCGGTCGACTTGCTGCATATTCAACTAATTACAATCGTATAATTAAGGCCTATTTATAACTTGTTTCGCAAATGTTACATTAATGATGATCGCTTAATTTGGATCAGTCGACACAACGAACAGACAAAATTAATATCGATCGCACGTCGCTTTATTGCTTGCGTAAATTCGAAACGTCCGATCTCAGAGAACGAAAAATATTTAATTTCTCGGAGAATTATGTAAACGAATGCGTCTAGTCCCCTGGTAGGTCGAAAAACGATCGCTCGAGTCTATTTACTGCGACGATGCTTCTCCGATCTGTGTGATTCGCGAGGTCTGAACGCTCACGGACCGCGTTCGCGCCGCGGCTATAATTATAATGTGTCTACCTACGTAAAATTTAAATCCCGGTTTCTGTCCATCGAGTGGAATGTCTGCTTGTCGCGTATAAGTGTGTGTATGTATAATATATATATACATATATATATATATATATATATTTATTTATTTATATATATATATATATATATTTATATATATTTATTCTTTCGCTCGCATTTTTATTATTTTTTCTTCGTAAAAAGCCTCCCCTACCTAAAAACAACACGTCGTGTGTATGAGTTCGTCTACTATATACTGGCGAATAAATCAACAAGTCCTTTAAAATACATTCCTCTATTCTGGAAAAATTCACGGTCATTAAATCTCTCTACCGAACACTCAAACATAACACCGATTTATCTTTTTTGTTCATTTTTTTTTGTTCATTTTTCCCTTTTTTATATTCCTTTCACCTCTCGCTTCTCTCGTCGTCGTAGTAGTTTTATTCCGCCCGTTCGTCCGCCCGCCCGTCCGCTCTTTTATAAGTCAGTCTTGGCATCGTAAACGCTTATTAGGTGCTTCGGGTTACAACTTACAGAGTAAACTCTCTAACAACGAGGGCTCTCCCGTGACAGAGGGGAGAGAAGAGGATCCTGCGTGACACGCGCGTCTTCATTGTCCTTCGCGTTAAATCCGCGCTGTTCGTGCGTGTCCGCCACACACACGCGCCACGTACACACACACACACACACACGTATACAGATAAATTCACACGTACATACCATATTCAAATGTATACCTTAAATTACGCCACCTTAAAAATATATTATTGTCTTTCGATGAAAACGTAGTGTGTAGCACTTGTAACTCGCCGCTGCCCTTCCAATCACCCTTCGTCTATCCACGTGACGAACCGGGACGATCGATCTTTTTTGGTGTTTCCTCCCCCGTCCCTCTCTCATCGATCGCACGTGGACGATAAGGTGAAGCGATCGATCGGATCCTCGAACGATCCTCCCTCCCTCCCTCCTGTCCGCCCATCCGTCTCTCAACTGTGGTTGATTCGTGATCCGTGTGAGTACCGTAATAATATCGCGGTCGATACACTACTATACTTCTTATTCCGTATCCTGTTGAATTACTGGATGGTGTGAGAATGGCGGTGCGCGCACGAAGCATCCTCGAGCGCACGGTGGCAAACGTGCGAGCGAGTCTCTCCGCTTCGCTCGGGCCTTATTCTGTAACTTGTAACGACAATTTCGCAAATTGTTAACGTTGCGCAGCTATCCTGTGATACATTTTGTCCGCGCAAAAGTTTGTAACGCATGCTTTAAAAGTTACAGAATAAGAGCACTTGATCTTGTTATCACTGGACGACGACTAAGTCGCGGGTTTCATGATTTCGGATTCTGTGCGGTGTGCGGCTTCGTGAACCCCGGGAACGATATTTCGCGGTATTTCGAAGTGGAAGCTCGTTTTTTTCCGCTTCTCGTCTGCGCCTGCGACTTCCATTTGCGACTTTCCGCCCGTATCGAACGTGAATGCGGGTGAATTTGTCCTCGTTACTTCAGATCGTGCTCGGTGCGTGGTAGTACAGCTCGGAGGCCTCGATCAGAGCGAGGAATTCTTGGTTCTTGGTCCGGGTTCTTCGTGTTTCGGCAGGTGCAAACTCCCGCTCGTTCGGGAATATAGTGTTTTGGTGAGGTAAGGGAGGAAAAGTTCCGCCTAGGTCCGCCGATCCTCAGTCCTGCGTTCAGTCCTCAGCCGGAGAATCCTTGCGATAGACGTAGTATCAAAGTTCCGAGCAGGCTTCCCGCTTCTTCTCTCTGAGACGCGTTGAGGCTTCGATGCGGTCCACCAACACTGTTCACGAATGCTCTTCTTCGTGCCTCACCTTGGCAGGAATCAACGCGTTCGGCGATTGGCTCGAACACGCGGTTCTTCTACACTTTCTTTCCACGAACGGTCACGTCGAGTTCACAGTCCGTCTCGGCAGCGGAGGCATTCACCAGGTCGACCGGGCTTACCGAAGGCGATGGGTTCGCGTGATTCGTTGTTGTTGCGGTCGGTAGCACCGTTCGGCGACGATCGTCGATTTCAATCGGACGCGAGTGAGCGTAGAAGTTCACGCGCATTAACTTGTCGTCGTTGACGATGGCTGCGTCGTCAGGTCGACGGACTCCTCGGACGTTGGCGTCGCGACGTGGGCGACGATCGTCGGGCTCGGGGTTCGTTATCATACGTCGTTGTCGTGGCAGAACTCGATCCGCCGTCTGGCCAGCTGCAACCGCCGCTTGTCGACGATGAAGTCAGTCACGCAGCCTTTGATGCCGCGATGGCCCGGCTTGCCGCCGACGAAGAGCTTGCCGTTGGTCGTCAGTAACGTCGTCTCCGTCGCGACCTTCACGGGTGTGTACTCGTCGATTTGCACTGTCGACGCTTTCCGGCGCCGGGATGCTCGAATGTGATGGAAGATCCCGTCGTCTACTCTCTCCTGTAACGATGTTGATCGCGGTGATGAAAATTAGTGAGATTGAGAAAAGCGAGGGTGGGTCGGTCATTTATCTATCTATTTACTTATAAATTTATGAATTGGCAAATCATGTTTGACAGTATAGAAAAGGAAGGGACAAAAAAGATAGAGATACGCAGAAAAAATCGATTTAAGACTCATATTCTCATATGTAAGCAAGAATAAATAAAATAATGTATGAAGATACATTTATTCTTACGTAAAGAAGTATTCTGTATAGTTCTACTAAAAGTATACTTATGTTATAATCGGCGACGAGAAGGAACAATTTTTGTACGTGCGTCAGTTGAGAGAAACAAGTAACTTACTCTGCTCTTTACGGATATCTGCTCGGTCTTACTCTTGTAAGTGAGCACCACATGTCCGTTGTGGAGGGACAAGATGAGGTGCTCGATCTTTCCTCTGCCCACCCACGCAATCAGTCCATCAGAATGTATGGTCCTTAGACGCAGCTCGAACTTATTCGATTGCTGCCCCCTGCGTCTAAAAGAACGTCCATGATAACGACGTCGTTCGTCAAGGAGACTCAAACATAATCATCCCAATAATATGCACTACAGATACGAACAGACTTCTACATCAAAATACGTTTAAAAATTTATAATAAATTCTGTAGGAAATTAATTTTTAGCCATGATCAAAGATACAAAAGAAACTCGGACAAATTTATTATAACAGGTGATTAATGAACATAAAATAAACTTTCTAGCAAATTTATGATTCAATTTAATCTGTACTTTAAACCAGCAATCTTTATATATCGAAGCAAAGGAGAAATTTTGATCAATACACAGAAAAATATGTACTGCATGATAATAAATAATAATAAAAAACGAAGAAGCAAGTGAATAAGGGTGATACGTTATACTTTGTTATAAATGTTCGCAATTATTCTTTGTCGCCTAATCGATACTTTCCTAAATCATCAAGCTGTCTCATATCAGAAAAGACAAAAATGTTACACCACAGTAATATCGAATTCCAGCAGAAATAAGTGCTTCTAGCAAGCGAAAGACACTTTCGTTTTCGTCATAGTATCACCTTTATTTCGCCCTCGCTGTTTCCTTTCGTTTCTTCAGTCTCCTCTGCAGTTCTCATCCCTTCGTTTGCGAGTTACAAGAAGCCGCCCGTCTAATTATATCTTTAGCGCTGCGACGCTACACAATCTACATCAATCTACGTTTCTTGTTACGTTTCTTATTACGCTCAAACGAATCCGGCTTCTCCTGCGTCTAAGGGCGGGATTACCACGGGGGCATGCGATTATCGGGGTCGACGACACACGATACACTACACGCGAGGAAAGGAAGGTCTACTGTCCCTCAAACGAGTACACAACCACAGGCATTCGCCGCCATGAAAACTTACTCCGTGTAATCGTAACTGTCGTAGTCGTAGTCGACGTCCTCCTCCAAGTCGTAGTCGGAGTAGGACTCCTCAAAGTACTCGCCGAGGGTAGTAGTAGTGGCAGTAGTGTTAGTCGTGTTAGTACTAGTTGGTGTTACACAATCAAAAGGTTAGTGACATTAGTCCTTAGCCAGGAGCGCTAATTAGTAATAGTAGTAGTAGAATAGTACACAAAATATTAGTATCAAAATTCAAGATTTATATTCTTATATATAAGCAAGGATATATAATCTTATCTATGAAGATAAAACACTTGCTCTATATGAAGAAACTCTATACAGTTTCATTAAAAATATATTTTTATTCAAGAGTAATTTTTATGAATTGAGAGGAAGAAATATCGGATAGAAAGAACGATATCTTTGAACTGATACGATTCTTAGTTCGAATATATCGTTTTTTCTATCCAATATTTTTTCTTCTCAATTCATAAAAACTATTCTTGAATAATAGGAATGTGACATTTTTAATAGAACTATACAGAATTTTTCACGTGTGTAAGAAAGTTTTATTTTCATATAAAATTATATATAGTGTTATACGCTTATACATAAGAATATGAGATTTGAATTGATGCCAACTTTTTTCCATGTATACTCTTTGGTCTACTCTTTGGTCGCTTTCTCACGCTAACATGTTGACCGACAAACTAATTGCAAGTGCACCTAATCGAACATCTTAAAGGATGTGCCGTTGCGCTGCTAAAGGCGATCGTCGATGCCGCGGGATTTTGTGCGCACATGCGTGCCTTACTCACCTTCTTCCGTAGCGATGCTTGAACTGCAGGAAGTTGTCGCCCTCGAATCGCACCGGCCGCTCCGAAATCTCGGTGCCGGAAACATCGTAGCCCATAACTGCAAGAAACGGTTTAGTCGGCTCGTTGTTTACGCCTGAGATTTCTTGAAGTGAAAACTCATTCAAAACAAATGAAAATCTTCACTCAAAGTAAATCGCCAATCGGAATCATAAGAATGTGTAAATTTAGTTAATTATTACGCGTATACATTGTGAATAAATTAGCCGATATTATAAATGAATTTGAAGATGAGATTCGCGCACAATGAGACGCGAATGAAACTCGTAGCATGTAAAAAAGATCACGGGACCGGAGAAGAAAACTTACAGAATTCGCAGTGCAAGCCGTTGTAACCGCTGGCGCACTTGCAGAGATAACTGTTCAGAAGTGGAAGGCAGACCCCGCCATTGTGGCAAGGGTTCTCGTTGCTGGGGCACGGTAGACCGTCGTAAATCTCCGTGTTGTGTTGAGTAACATTCACCGCGAGGTTCTGATATGTTTTGCCGTTTACCATTAGTCTCTGCACGGCACCCACCAATCCGGTCCACGCCCCGGCCAGGCGATGTACTTCTCGCCAGTGTCTAAGAAATCGAGCGATTGCGATTATTATTTACCGCTCGGACGAGTTGAATTAGCGTGAACTTAGGTTACTTTTTACACGAACTTGACCGAGCATTACAATTTAAACGTGCAGATTCATGGGTTTCGCAATAAATATATTTATAATAAGGAAACTTTTAATAGGAAATATTATTATTATTATATTTATTTTATGATATATTTCGGACAAAAGAGAAAGGACAAATTCTCTCTTGATATTGAATCAGTAACGGGATGGAAGTAACAATATAATATTGTTACCATATTGCACACTGAATAGAAATATCTAAAAAATAAAAACTATTTATTCGGTGGGAACTAATAACACATATTTATTTAAATCTGTTAATAAATTCCTTATTCAAATAACTTACTTGACGCCACCGACGTAAAGCGGCATTTCCAGATTCAGCTCGGTGAGAGGACTTCCGGATAGTCCTCTGGCGACTGTGCCGTCGTCGAGCTGAAGCACCCCCTCTCTACCGAGTCTGCTGATTCTCACGCAGTGCCAGGTGTCCAGACTGACCGGATCGGGTGATGTGATGTTCGCGATGCCGCTGCCGAGATTGAATCTAAATTCCAGCCTGCCGTGTACCAAGTTCAGACTGATGAAATCGCCCTTGGCGTTGTTCAGCTGGCCGTTGTAAAGTAAGAGACCGTCGCTCGCGTGAGTGAGGAACCAGAGCTCAATGGAGAACGCTTTCGCGACGCCTTCCAAGCACGGCAGCTCCAGATATCCGTTGCCCGACATCTCGGGTATCAATAGTTCCGTCAATTCGGCGTCCACTGCAAGAATGACAATTTAATGCTTTTAAAATCTACCTTCAACATCCTTCAGCGAGTTCGCCAAGTTGCTGAGCAAAATATTCGACTGTTTAATCACAATATAAAAAATACCCACAATATAAAAATTACTTTTGCGCTATATAAAACGTGAGAGATTTATGTGTTATATATCCGTTTATTGTCGACTGTCGGGAGGTTAGGAATACGACGACTCGATTGTTGCAACAGATGCATTATTCGCACTTACAGATCTCACAATGTTCGCCGGTCCTGCCAGGGGGACATTTGCACACGTAACCTCCCTGCGGCAGAATGTCACAAGTAGCACCATGCTGGCAGGGCTCGCCGATGCACGGGTCCAGTGACTCCTCGCAGTTGCGACCGGTGAATTGCGGCGGACAAATGCATCTGTAATCCGGCGGCTCGTACTTCTCCACCGCGTAATTGCCGTGCTCGTAATTGTTCTCGTACTCGAACTCGTAATCGTAGTCGCACTTGTTGGTAGCGCAGCGTCTCCTCGCACTTCTCTTCGAGCCTCCTTTTCCCGGGTCGATCGAGGTGCAGTGAGTACCTCTGCACCTGACAATGTTCACCCCACCTTTGTTGCCGTTGCCACCACCCCTGTTCCTGCCTCTACCTCGTTTCTGCAACCTCCTGCATTCACGACCGTTGCACAGATCCTCCTCGAAGATCGGTTGGCAAGTCGCGCCGTTCTGGCAGGGTAGATTGGCACACGCGTTATCGCCGCATTCCTTCACGCGGTAGCTCTCGAGCACGTCTTTGTCGCGACCCATATGGAGGTCCACGTGGATCCGATTGATCTTCAGCTTGCGTATGCAGCCGAGCAGCCCGTGGTTGGTGCCGATGTTGTCGTACACCCTGCGCAGAAGATGACGTAACGATATGTATCGTTACAACTAAAAATTATATAGAAATGATGAGCTTTTAACACAATTGTGAAAATATTACTTGGTGTAATTGCTCGGCATGTTCCCAATGAAGGTGTCTTGATTTAGATCCAAGGATTTCAGCATCCCCTGACTCTGTCCGGCCACGTCCTCACCGTCGTTGAAGATCAGGACTCCGTCCTTGTGATATCTCTTGGCCGCCACTCGATGGAAGGTCTTCATAATCACCTTTTCCGGCGACGTGAGTATCACGGGCCCGTTTCCCAAGTTGTACCTGAATTGCACGTATCTGGGACACGCAATAATGAGCTTAGCGAATACATCAGTTCTTCGAATACGATCGATAAGAAAGTACGTTTATTTTATGTTCGCTATCATTATTTATGCTATTTATTTATTTACCGATACACAAAACTACTCCTTTGACGCAATAGATATAACAACTATAAATAACAAGTACAAAGAGATATTTGAAAAAAATGAAAGAAACTTAAAGAATTATAGTATGTAAAAAAAACGAAGTAAGATCGTCGTTTTTTCTTTAATCAAAATAGAAATTGCCAACTCGATCATTTAGAGATTCTTATTCGAGCAACTGAAGATAATCTTGAGGAGCTCAACGAGGGGAGCTCCGCGCTAATGCAAAACGTCGACTGGTAATCAGCCTGTAGGCCGCTGTCGGAGTAATTTACACAAAGCGACGGCGAAATTAGATCTCGTCGTCAACAACGGAAATAATCAGGCGAATCGAGTTACCGCGCTCATCTTGCGCGATTGTCAGTCTCGGTCCGCTCAAAGGGCATACTTTGTGCGCGCGACGAAAGATCATCGCGTTCACAGGAGATACCGACCCGTCGACAATGGCCAGCGAAACAAAGTCGCCGGTGCCGTCGTTCTTCTGCTGATTGTACAGTATGATGCCGTTGTCCGCGTACGTTTTGAACTCGACCTCGATGCTGAATTTGTGATACGCTTTCAGCCGGTTCATCCTGACGTAACTTTTGCCGTCAAAGGAGGGCACCTCGTAATCTCTTTTGTTGATCTCCTCGTCACACAGCAGCCCGGTGTAATTTGGCCGGCACACGCAGACGAAAGTCGCGCTCGGCAGGTCGATGCATGTGGAGGTCATGTGACACGGGTACGAGAGGCACGCGCGAAATTCCTCGGTCGGTGTCACCGGCACGTAATTGGCTTTGACAGAAAGTTCATTTTCTTTTAATTACGACGATGTGGACAACGCGACCACGGTGAACGAACATTGGCAAGCTGGGTCGAACGGAAGTTTAATTGCGAAATCCTTCTTTCGACATTTAATTAATAAAACTGAAAAAAAATCTGTTTTTCAGTGGATACTAATAACATATTTATGAAATGGAAATTCTTTTGTTTGAAAAGAGTAAACGATTGCTTTCATAAAAAAATTACACTGAAATAAAAATGTTACCGTTCAAGTATAATACTCAAAGTAAACTCGACAATGTATTTTATTATATAGAAATTTCAAAAAACAATATTTATAATCTCAAAGGATCAATATGCCTCCGTTTGACTTTTCTTGATGCTCTGACTGTTCGAGAAATAAATACAAACAAATGCAAAAAATGAAATTCATTGTTCACTAGTAAAAGAAAAGTATGAACTTTATGATCAAAGAAGTCAATGTATTTTAATTTTAATAAGTCCTTTGATATCGCTATTTATTTGCAGTCGAAAAAGTGCGATTAAATATAAATCATAGCGTTAGTTTGTTCGAGGCAAAGAGCGTGACTACTTCATACGGAATAAATTACGTCGCCGATTGAAATTGAGAATGAAGATATAGAATCTCGAATATACTGGATAATCGAAGATTAAATAATTCTCGGATAAGTGCTTCTTGAAGCTTCAGTACGGAACAAAGGACGGTAAGTAACCACTTGTAGCATCCAGATAGAACGACATTCTGTACAGCATTGTATCTCGAGTTTCTCCATTGATACGGAATTTGCAGGTTTAATGTAGAGCCAAAATTTCGACTCGGGCTTTGTCTCACCAAAACATTCCTGTCGATCGCTGGTTTCCGCGTAGCCCTCGGAACAGATGCAGCCGCCATTGGAGCACTCGCTGTTGGGTATCGTGCAGTCCTTGTCGTCCGTGCAAAGATCACCCAACAGAGCGGTGACCACTCGAATCGTCGCCGGCGTCGGTCGATTCGCCGTGGCTACTCCTGCGAAAGTCAACGTCTCCGTCATCCGCCGCGGTGAAAAAAACCACGGTGCTCGCAATATATAATACGTAAAACGTCCTAGAAATCGCTCGCGCTTTCTGTGAGCCAACGTCGTGAAAAATTCATTGCGATTCGGCGTAACAAAACGTGCGGCTATATGCGATTTAGATTCGATATATAGAGAAATTAGAAAAATCTCGCGAGATGTCAAGATAATTGGTCCGTGGCAATACTGTTGGAAAGATAATAGTTAATACAGCACAAAGTAACTCGATATAAAACGATACCTAATCAAGAGATGCAGAAGGAAATATAGAAGGTACAATATTTGCCACCTTTACGGATTAGCTGTGCTATACTTCAATCATTATCAGAAACTTTACATATAAATTTCTGGAAAAATAAACGATCAACGAACTTGTAATTTTTTTTATAATATTTCTACAAGTCTCTCTCGTTGTCTTCTTATTTTTTTAATAAAACTATAAGAATCGTTTGCTCGCTAGAATTAAAAACGTGATATCAGAAGCCGTTATCTGTGATACATGCACATAATTCTGACCTTGATTTAATTGTCTCGATTTTAATACGGTGAGTCTCTTTCTAATTTGACGTGTGTGTAGATTGTGTTTCAATTAATACGCTGTTAGAATAGAAGCTTCCTAAGAATATAAATTTGCGGACCAAATACCTTAAGAGCTCGAGTGAACAAGCGATAAAACACTCTCCCCCGTTCCCGCGAGATTTTGTTTCGACGATAATTTCATTTTCAAGTTCTCCGAGTTATTTAAAAAGTTGAGATCGAATGCCCCCTCCGCTCTCTACCGTCGTGTTATCGTTGAACGAAGAAAAAACTTCAAGTTATATCAAAGATCTTACGGGTGCCGCCGTCGGTACAGCGAAAACGGAGTATTTACGGGCGTCCTGAAAAAACAGATATTGTTTTGATGCGATTCGGTACCGGAAAAAGTATCGTTTACATTTAGCGAATCGTCGGGCGGGCGAAATTTTGCGCGTTGTGCCGGAGTTGTCGGTTCGCGATCGACCTCGAATCGCGTTCGCGTACAACAACTCAGTTTTGCAACTAGACAAAATAGACGCGTGCGTGTATGTCGCCGAGCACTGTCGTTTATTATTGTTATTATTATGCCACATTTCAAGCATTACAAGCGACTTCGCGAAGCATTAATGTTCCGATCGTATTAAACCGAATTAACGGCGAACCGATAATACGGTTAATAGAGTGGTACACGTCAATTGCATTATGAATTTACAGTTAATTAACAATTGTTCCACGATGCATCAGTCGATCGGCGTCAGTCGAAAACGTGCGTTTTGAAATCTTGCCGAGTTCGCATCGACGTGGAGACAAGCGTGTGCCGGGGCTTCTTTCTCTCTGATCTTGCGGAAATTGACCTGCCAAAGGCCAGAATTATTTCACAAATATTTTCAGATTGAAGGTCCGCTCTGTTTGTTTTCCACCGGTCCAAATCAGTATCGGAATTATTTTCTGATTATTTTATTCTGATGAATTTTTATTGACTGTTAATTTTTGTCCAAAACGCAGATACATGATTGGAAATTAGAGCCATATATAAACGTAAAAATAAAATTGCACATTGTTGGCAGAGGGTTAATGGAAGATCCGCAATCAGTCACATGCGTTGGCTCTTATCGACCTCTTCTATATTAAGATTTTATTTAATAACAAAGAAGGGTCCCACAGATAGGACACTGGCCGTTAACAAGTTAGCAACGACCCATATAATTAGTGACGCTTCTCGAAAGAGAGCGCACGAAAATGTTCGAGTCCCTCGCAACGCAGTCCGACCTCGACAGTACGGCCGCTGGTCCGTGAAAGATTCAGAAGGGGAAGCTTTTTTTTTTACCGTGCTTCAAGTTATCTCGGTCGATGGTAATAGTTTCTTGATGAGCTCGATGGGTGTAATAATAACGTGGGTCCGGCTCCGGCACCAAGAGATGTCGTGTGGACTTGGATAGCGGCGAAATGGCGGCCGCTGGTTGCGTGTACTGTACAGCTGTATATCTCTTAACGGGGAAGTCCGTGTTGACCATAGGGTCGTCTGAAAATGTCCGTGAATTCCGATTTTCTATTATCCTCTGTTCGCGCGTATCACGCGAGAATCGAGACGAATCTTATTACCTGACCGGAGCTCGCGATTGAAACGAAAATATTCGCTCAGAAGCGCACGAGTAAATAAATAATTTCTCATCGCATACAGAAAAATATATACTATATATAAGTAAATGCTACTGTAAATATTATTTGTCTCAAGTATCTCATAAGTTTATACTTGCAAATATACCACAAGTTCATCATAAGCCAAATTTATTCGAAATATAGTTTGAATTTCCCAGTAAATTTAGTTAAGAGTATCTTCAAGAACATTAAATTATAAAAAAAACAATAGGATTATTTATTTGAATTAACTGCACCTAACTTTTCTGCGATAAAGTTTTACGATATTCTTGAAGAAAGAATGGAGTCTTCGTTTGAATACTTGATAATGAGAGTTTTTCTATCTAAAATTTATAATGAGTATATTTTAAGACTGTTATCAAGAAAGTATTCTTTGTTGAAGATAAACAATTTATTTAAAAGAAAGAAAATAAACCGAATAGTCGCTTTTCTTAGCAGTAAAATGATATTTTTCTGTGTGTGCCGATCGCTCTCGCGTTGCCTCCAGCAGCGATCGCATTTTTGCAAAAATCGTCGTGATTTACGCGATTTCTATCCGTGGAAAATTGCACCGCTAGAAAGAAATTAAATCAAGAAATTTCCACGGCACGGAAATGGGCCGTTACATATCGACATTATGAGGCGCTATATTAATAATAACGAAGTGCGGAGTACAACGGATATAACCGGTTAAAAAAGTCGGATTTTAATTTTATCCGGACCCGATTTTAACCAGCTACTACACTCTCCTGCGGAAATCGTTCTCGATCATGCATAACGTAACACGCGCACAGTAGGGTGATGTTATTAGCCGAACAGGATTCGCATTTTCTCACCATTCTATCATGGTAAAGTTCTATTATAATATTATTAATTTTCCCTCATTAAAAGTTATAACGATGACGACACATGTATGCAGGTGATCTCGTAGAGAAAGGTCTCTATCTTTCTCCCTCACACTCTTGCTCTCTGCTTGGATTTCTGTTAATTAATTTCGAAATAAAGTTTTCTAGATGGAGATTCGTAGAAATAATTGGTTCACCCATCTCGCTTTCCGGGATTAAAGTACGCTGAGGCAGACATTTTGGTGTTACACGTAAAATTACACGTCTTTAATATAATAATATCCGAGTACAAAAAGCAAGTGAAACGAGAGAAGCAGTTCGCTTGAAATTAGCTTATCAATTCCCGCGCTCAAACGTGTATAATTATTCTGGGGCATTAATTAATTTACACTTCTCGCGCATATGAACTTCCTTATTTTTACGCGTTACGTAATGAATTATTGTGTCTGTATAATGCCTGCTGTAGTTCGCGACGGACTCGAGTATGAAGTATAGCGCTAAGCTCGGCACGAAAGTTGCGTAGGAATCCTTCAAACGGGCTTTCCAAGGATAACATCTCCAGAACTTTCAGCGAAAGAGGTAAGAATTATCGTTTCGATTCACGATTTCGTTTCCCGCCCCGAAAAAATCTCGGCGGAACGAGTAGAAGTCATTGGGATCACCCGGTGAGCTGCCGCAGTGATTTAAGTTGCGATCCTGAAAGCTACATCCGAGGATTTCGACAAAAACTTGAGCTATTGAAAGCCATTCCGCCGGCTCTCTCCTAATCTCTCCACCCGACACTCCTCCGTATCCTTCCTCTTTTCTCTCTCTCTCTCTCTCTCTTTCTCTCTATCTTTCTTTCTCATTCTTTCTCTCTCACTCTCGCTTTTCTACTCCGTGAATGATTTGCTTAAGAAAATATTATTCATATCAAGACACGTACGCACAATCCAATATCTTTTGTAAATCTAATCCGGAAAATTTTCTCTTTCTCTCTCACTCTTCTTTTCTCCCTTGAAACAAAAGAAAAATAGATCAAATAGAAGAGAAAAAAAGGATGAAGCTTTCTTACGATCTTTTTGTGAAATTAAAATCAATTAAAATCAGCGCAACTTTGATGTAACTAATATCTCGTCCAAAGCAAAATACGGGAAAACGCAAGATCCCGTTTGTATCTTTACGAACGGGACGCCTCTTTTATCTTCACCCCTCCCTTTCATTTCTGATCGTTCATTTAATATCTCGGATTATTAACTGTACGACTACGTCAACATAGAATTCGATCCCGATGCATTAAATAAATTATCCCTTATTCGTCTCGGCTGTCCGTTATCTCATTTCCGTTCGCGCGGAAAGGATTCGCGTTGTCTCGCTCGAACGGTCGAAGAAAAAGGAAGAATAGGGAGCGGGGCGCGACAGAGCCCAGCCGAGCGTGGCGTGTCGGAGTTCCTCTAAATAATGAAAATCGAAAAGCTAATTCTATCGGTTCTCGGAGTAACGCAGAACTGTTAACAGGAGTCGGAACGAGTCTTGATGGGATTTTAATTACTTTCCAATTGTCGCGTTGCTTCCTATTATTGCCCGTCGAGGACTTCCGCTATTTTTTTCCTCGACAATCATCCCCAGGCTAGGCCAAGCCTGCCTCTCTTTCTCTCTCTCTTTCTCTCTGCCTTTGGCAAGGCCGAATCATCCTCCCTTCCCCCGCGTCCAACAACTACTCGCTTATTTGTCTCCGTATAATCGATTCGTTTATTTACTTCCGTTGCGAAAGCGTTGACGAGTTCTCCCCGCTCGTTGTCGTCGCTGCAAATACCGCCAGCTCTCTCTTTCTTTCTTTCTCTCTCCCTCTCTCTCTCTCTCTTGCATTATTCCGCTGTCGGGTAACGACTCCAGTCCATTTAAGGGATGAAGATCCCGACGATCACTACAAGGGCCACCAGACGCGACGCGGAGGATACGAGGCTGACGTTTTA